TTTTAGTAGCTCGACGGTTATCACGCAGGGACGATACGACTCGTTGCAATTGCGAGGAGTGGTATCGTTAGTAGCTCGCGGGCGAGCTGCCGTATTACCATAAATTTCCATCGGATCGCTCAGAAGCCAATTAGCGTAAGTCACACCGAGATGAAGACCGCGATACGCCGTTTTACTTAAATCAAGCCGGCCGCAAGAACCGTTTGATCGTTCACCGTTTAATACCCGGCAAAATCCGTTCCTCGAACTCTCCGGTTCTCCTCTCTCGATCGAGAAAGGCCGAGGAACACCAACGCATGTTAGAAAAAGCCGAGCGAGTTTTATCCGATCGTTATAACGCGTATTAATTTCCCTAGAATTCGTGCCAAAAGATTATTTTTTTTAAACTAGATTAAGCTAATTAATACGTTCCTAACTATTATATCTTTGATCTTTTTTTTTATTTTTATTTTTCTTTTTTCTCATTGTAAATTTTCTTTTTTTTCCTCAACTTTATTCTACAACTCGCGGATGTATGAAATTATTAAAAAGAAATTAATATTTTAATTATCCATATTAGAAATTTCTGTGACGATGTAGGTTTAAAAAATGTACGTATGTCCGGTGACGAAAATTTTTATTTTCACATTTAAAGTTATTAAATCGTTGAAATAAAATACTTGATTATCGTGGAGCTTGTCAAATTTCGTGCGAATCAGATAATTAATTGGAAATGTTTAAACGTTTATTTAAGCGAACTCGCGTTACACCATAAAATATACGTTTATGCAAATTAAAGAGTTCTTTAAAGAAACCCCCATGAAAGTGTGTAGACGTAACATTCACATCGCGAAGCCCCGTTAGAAAACTGAATTTTCCATGCGTGGCGAGAGAAGGCGGGTACCTGTGTGTCGCGGATATATAAGGCTCGATGATTTCTCTCAACGAGAAAGCTCGACCGTTGAAGATAAAAGAAAGATAGAGAGAGAGAGAGAGAGAGAGAGAGAGAGAGAGAGAGAGAGAGAGAAAAGAGGAAGGCCGACAGAGCACAGCAGACAGCTTGGCGTCGTCTCGTGAAACCTGGACCGACGACGATTCGAGTCTGCTCGTCAGATGGACTCGTCGGGTCGACTCGCGGATCTAACGAAGAAGAAGATCCCTCGATCTTGATCCCCGTTCTCGATTCTCGTGAAATAAAAACTGGTCCAGGTCGATAAACGAGACAAAATCTTTTCTATATTATGAACGTAAGAGACAACAACAACAATAATAAATAAATAAATAAATAAATAAATATATATATATATATATATATGTGAAAAATTCTCGTATGATTCTCAAATACCTCTCATTACGGAATTCACGATCGCGAATGAAGAAATCCGTGGTCTCGAACAAGACTTGCTTGTTGCCGCGAGAATGCACGGAATGTCGATCTCTCGTAGGCTTCTTTGCTCGAAGACCAAGCAAGTCCATTGCTCGCAAAGAGAGATACCTCGACTTTCGAATACGAGAATTTCAAGCTCGAGAATCGATCGTAAGATCGTTCCATAGGTTCTCTTTTCTCGTGAGAATTCGTTGAGGTTTTTTTCTTTCAGAATTATCTACCTGTACGACTTTAACTCTTATTGCAATTCATTTCGAATACAAAATTGAAAATCAAAGGTAATAATAATATAATACTTTATAAAAGCTTATTCTATAATTATTTTTTTTAAGAATAACGATACACATACACACATACGCACATACATACACACACAGTTTGAATTTGAATCTAACCTCTTACTCAGAAATTCCAAGAAATTCTTCTATTTTGATCAATCTCAGATATTTCTAAGATTTCAAAAAACACAAAAATTTAGGAATTATATATATATATATATATGTATATGCTATGTATATGTAGATATATTTTTTATCATCGTTATATCTTTAAATAATCCTTGAAATAAGAAGTATCATATTATTTTAAGATATGTATCCATGTTTTGGCAAACGAAAAATGATCCTTTATCGTGAGACATTATCGCATTCACGCTTCAAGACTCGACGACTTGCTTTCGTGAACTTCGAGAGGAGCCATTATTAATTCGCGACGGACAGACCTTGTTCTTTCTTTTTCTCCTTTCTTTCTTTCTCTCTCCCTCTCCTCTCTCTCTTTTTTCTCTCTTTTTCTCTTTCTTTATAAGATGAAAGAGAACGCTTACGCGTGAGAAGAAGAAGAAGATGAAGACGACGAAGACAACGAAGATGAAGAAAAAAATTTTTCCCGGAGCAAAAATATCTTGCGAGACGGCAAAGCGGAACGATCCGTTGGTCCTCCTCCCTCACACACGCACCAATTACAGTACCACAGGAGCGAAGTTTCAACTGAAAACGAAGTGAAAAGCATAAAATTAAAATTCGGAGGAGGTAGGCGCGACTAATTTGTCGGTTCAGCCCCTTAATGAACCGCTAAGTTAATCTGGGTCATCGTACGAGGAAATGTTTCTAAATTTATTTTCCTCTTTCTCTCTCTCTCTCCCTCCCTCCCTCCCTCCCTTTCTTTCTCTCTTTCTTTTTCTCTTTCTCTCTTTCTATCTCTTTCATCTTCGTGGTGACTTACCCATAATAGGGTAATATACAATTTGCAACAGCCTAACGAGTACGAATAGTGATACGGACAGGATCCTCACAAATTTCAATTACGTCAAATAGAAATGGAGAAAAGAATATTATTATTTTCGATATAATGACGACAATAGTTGAAAATCTGAGAAAAAATATTTCAGGAAAAATATTCTTATTGATAGTCTTCGTTGAGTTTCGTTGTTAAGAGGGATTCTCTATTCGTTTATATGGCACCATTACGTTTGAAATAATGGGGGGAATCGTACCTTAACGGAAGTGACGTTGTACGTATTCAGGTATGCTTGTGTATACACTCACACATGCATGTATATCTATCTTTTATATATGTATTGTATGTATTTACGTGGGGCGATACGGCTCGTTGAGCGGTACGACTCGTTGCGGAAATAACTCGCATGTAGGAATCGTCGCACGTTAAAACGCGTCTGAACGGAAATGCGGATAGTATATTTGTGATCATAATCAACTACTACAGGATATACTATCCATATGTAGTTATCAAAGAAGATAACGTTTTTTTAGAAGAAATTCTTGGAAGAATAGAAAATATTTCATAAACTTAAAAAGAAATGCATTTTCTTTGTTAATGATTTTCCATGGAAAAGCCATTAAAACAAATATTTCGAAGAGATAAGAAATGATTAGCTTTTTCAAAATCTGGATGTTCGAAATCTGAAGTATGAGCCATAATGAAATCACTTTATTATAGTATACATTCTATTTTTTCAAATTGTTTACTTAAGTTACTTTCATCATTAGTGACGTACATACGCACACATATACACACGCATGTATATATAAGATATATAAGATATATCATCATGAAACATCAGAAGACTTTATTTTCGTAACATATGCAAAGTTTCGACAGTTCCGCGAGAGAAAAGGATTTGACATAATAGGATACTCGTGAAGAGTATCAAAAAGCCGTCGACGACAAGCCACGTTTGAGAAACGCATTGAAAGTTTCGAAAAGTTATTTTCGACGAGTGAACGAACGAACGAACGTACGAACGTACAAACGAACGAACGAACGAACGAACGAACGAACGAACGAACGAACGAATGAACGAATGAATAAGCGAGGGTAGCGAGCGCTTACTCAAGCTGATATCCCGTTTCTGCAACGACGATTATTTTTACCCAGCGTGGCCCACATTCGAGGACTTCGATTACCTCCGACGCGTAATCGAATGGCTCTGCATCCATACAGCTGACGTGTATCCAGCAAAAAAAACCGTTCATTTTTAACATCACTAGGGCTTATAGTATCATAACTCAATTTACACACATGGATACCTATTCGATAAAATTATATGGAATATATTAATAATTCGATACAAGATTTGGCTATATATATATATAGCCAAATAGTCGAGAGGTTGCAGACGATATATGTATAGTATATGGAAATTTATTTATTACATATATAAAAAAAAAGTTATATTAATTTATAGATTTATTTATATACTTAAATTACGATTAAATAAAATATATATTAAAAATTCTTTTCAATGAATAAACGAATGATTAGATGACATTAATACGATGTATTAGATCGAACATCATGTAAAGTCGTGAACTTTCTTGAGCAACGTACACAGAGGAGGTATTGTATTATTCCACTTTGATTCGACAAAGGTGTCGTGTTTTGTAACGAGAGAACTGCGTTGGCATAGTTATTAGGAAACCGATCGATCGTCGTCTCTTTGTCGTTTCTCTATTATAACGAAAGGATATACCACGTTCTAAGTTCAATAGTAGAAGCAACAAACATTTAGGCATGGTCATATCTAGAAAAGGCCATCTCTCTGTGTCTTTGGGAGATATCCTTTAAGAGGTCAATGACGGCTCGTTATGTCGTTAGTTTCCGTCGATGGTGCAAGAAGCAGGAGGAACGATAAATCGGGTAATCAGGAAGACGAATCGGGCCGAAGCGAGAGCTCTCGCTGCTCGGAAGCGCCCCGCGGGCAGATAATTACCGGAGGCCGGTCCGTAGAAAATCAGGAATGCGACCGAAAGAAACTGCCATGATGTCATAAATATAAAACCGAGCAGTCGTTTATTAACGGCTCATTAATAAAAGTCCTTAAATGGATATGTGTAAATAAAAGAGACAAGGGGGAACGTTCATTCGTAGCAATAGAGTTCGAAGGACGTCTTGTCGATGATATTTCAAAAATGAATTCAAAACGATCACGTATGCTCCTATTATTATGATATTTAAAATATATGAGTCGAGTAAAAATTGAATTTCATATTTGTAACCTTTTGTATTAACTTTAATGGAAAATACAAAAAAAAAAAGAATAAAAAAGAGAGAGAAAGAAAATTTCTTGATTAACGTCCCTATATTAACGAGAATCTTTATGTTTTTATAATTATAGGGTGGTGGCGACGATTCCGACGAGGATACGCAATGCGCCTTGAGCGAGAATTGGACTTTCGAGAAAAAGACGAGACGGTGGTCTCGTGTGGGTGACATAACACAAGCAAACGTTGAGAGGTTGCAGACGATAGCTGGACAGACGGTACAATCGGAGGAGGAATCCCTACAGGATCGGTTAGAGGCTGAGGAAGCTGAAGATACAATGTTAGAGAACTTGAAATACAGTAGCCTGCCACCAGGTACGATGCCGGAGGAGATCAGTCCGAGATTTCGCAGGACCGGCTCGGAGAGGCTACGAGATGGAGCGAAGGCCATACTAAGGAGGGTCGAGTCGCTCAAGTCGCGTCGACGCAAACGTCAGAATCGTGACGGTGTCGTGATAAGCGGGCCGCAAGTACTCGACGTGATGTCGATGCAGCAGAAAATGAAAGAGTTGAATTGCGTTGACGTTTCACCAACTGGACCGGCACCGATCACTTTTAACGATCATAACATATCGAGTTCGCCTCTTCACGTTCCTGGCTCGCCGGTGACCTTGCCACCTTCACCTTATCATTTACCACCTTCCCTTCTGGCAAATGCACCGAGCAGCCCGTTTGGTGATGATTCCTCGAGTTATTGCTCGGATGGTTCGCAAGGAGGTGGTCCGACGCCTACGCCAACGCGTACAAAGATGAATCGAGCACGTAGATTGCTCCATCGTGGTAGAGACGATCAAGGAGCATTGAGTGACTCCGAGTGTCAGCCAACCAGTTGGAGGCAGAGATATTTTCGTGATGCCAATAGCAATCACGCAAAAGTATTGGAATATGTCTCTGCTCATCCTCAGAGTCCAAAGGAATGTTCGCCAAAGGGTACGCCTATCAACACACGTGGTGGAAGCCTCAATCTTGGGAAGGAGTCACAAAGGTTCCGTGATAAGTTGAGTCAGGGTCAGGAAAGGTTCAAGGAAGACAAGGTCTCGGTTTTGAAGCGAGAGGATAAGATGCACAAGAGTTTCAGACGTCGTGACGATTCCAACAGGGATGAAAAACCTTTGTCGAAGGACGTCACCGTTTACAGGGACAAATCACACTCAAGGAGCTCAGAGTTGGGCGCTAGTCAGGAGAGCAGCTCCACCGTAGCGAGCAGAGATTCTGATCAAGAGGAAGATTCTCCGAGGCACAAGGTCACGGTCGTCAGGTGGCATAGCTTTCAAAGAGGGTCTCTATATCCGGAACCACTCGATCCTCTTTGTCCTCGAGCTATGGCTTCTATGTCCTGCGGACAGTTATTGGTCCTTCGAAAATTAGCATTACTCAAACTAACGGCATGCATGGAACGTTATTGTCCTACTCATCGTACCGGATGGAATTGGGAATTACCAAAGTTTATCAGAAAGATTAAGACCCCAGATTACAAGGATAAGACTGTATTTGGTGTACCTCTGCTCCTATCTCTTCAAAGAACTGGTCAGGCTCTACCGAAATGCATACAGATTGCTTTAAGATGGCTCAGGGCTAATGCTCTCGATCAGGTTGGGATTTTCAGAAAGAGCGGCGTCAGGTCGAGAATACAAAAATTGAAGGTAATGACCGAAACCCAAGGCGATAATATCAACTTTGACGGTCAACAGGCCTTCGATGTAGCAGATCTGGTGAAGCAATACTTTAGGGAATTACCTGAGGCCTTGCTGACGAACAAGCTTTCCGAAACTTTCATCGCTATCTTTCAACGTAAGATCTTTATCTTTTTCATTTTATATTTTATCTCATTAAATTAATCATTTCCGTGGAAAAATAATCGTTCGATTTTTATCACGTAGATGTACCTTTGGAACTTCGACCGGACGCCGTTCAATGTGTCCTCCTCCTTTTACCAGATGAACATCGAGAAGCGTTGGAAACCTTGCTCGACTTCTTGAACCATGTCGCCAACAACTCGCTCTACAACCAAATGACAGCCTCGAACCTGGCCGTATGCCTGGCACCGAGCCTGTTCCACTTCAACCACAGCAACACGAACGTGACCAACAGGCCGAGCAGCGTATCCCCTCGTAGGAGAAAGACCGTGGGTAGTCCCGATCCGCGGGAATTGTCGGAAAACAAAGCAGCGCACGACTGTCTTCTGTATCTGGTCAACATGCATCGTGAATTATTCATGGTAAGACGCTCACCGGCGAAATGTTACGCTCGTTGCCGGAGCGTGTCATTCGTCGTTCGAACCATCGATCCCGATCGTGGTCGAATCCAAGATGGAAACACGTTCTCACGAATCGTGAACGCCTATGTATAATCCTTCATATATGTATATCCAATACCTATGGAATATATACTATATTCATTCTTCTTCGTTACTCCCAGGTCTCATCGGATATGCTGACACAGTGTCACTTCAATTACATGGAAGAGAGCGTTCCGGTCGCCCTCGAAGAACTCGGTTCTGAGCTCAATCAAGATTGGAGGGGATATTTGAAAGCCTGCACGACTGCGTTGTTGAAGGAAGCATGCGAGAAGTGAGTGACAACAACCTTGTAATAGTTTCTCATAAACAAGAATCTCCTTTCGATTTAACTTCGTTCCTCCATTATCATCTTGAAAGGTTACGAAAGTCATAGAATTTCAACCGGCAATATTATATAAATTATGTTTCTTGGTATAGAAGTCGCGGATGGGTCAGCGTTAATAATCCTGCCGATAGCAGCGTCGACATGGCTTACAAGAAAGTCGGTGATGGACATCCATTGCGACTTTGGCGAGTGTCGACCGAGGTTGAGGCACCACCTAATGAACTTTTACATCGTGTCCTGAGAGAGAGACACATTTGGGATCCGCAGCTTCTCAAATATAGATTGGTCACCGAGTTAGACAAGAACGTGGAAGTTTTTCAATATGCAACTGGGAATATGAGTCCTCTTCCTGCACGGGATTACTGCGTGTTAAGGTATAAAATATAAAACAAGTATAATTGAGAATACAATCGATCAAGGAAAAAAACGAAATATATTAACGAATCCAATAAATCTTTATTACAGATCCTGGCGGTATGATCTTCCGAAAGGTGCATGTGTTATCGTTGAAACGTCGGTGGAACATCCAGATGCACCAGTTATGCTTGGTGGAACTCGCGGAATTGTTTTAGCTTCGCGTTATCTTATTGAACCATGCGGTAGTGGAAAATCACGTATCATGCATTTGTCTAGAGTCGATACAAAGTAAGTATGACGTGTAGTTATGATTAATAACCATTGTATCAAGCATTATCTATCTTTCTTTTTTCTTTCTCTTTCATTTTTCCTTTTTCGATGTTAATTTATCGTTCATTCATATCACAGAGGACGCACACCCGAGTGGTACAATAAAAGTTACGGACATATCGCCGCGCTTCATCTCAGCAAGATTCGCAACAGTTTCAAGCATACCACCGATGGACCGGAGACCAAAGTTTGAGACGAGTATACCGTGCAGTGTGCGACGCTGCACGGTGCTTATCCATTTTATCAAGAGACCGGGAAGACCATGAAGGAATCATGACGATCCAATTTTAAGGTTACGATCAACGAGGACTGATGATAATTTTATTATATTAATAGATTAATCCCAAAAGAATAATAATAATCGTCATCGATCGCGAATTTCATTGTTTTATTACGTCCTCGTTGTTGATACGTCAGAATTTATTTTTTATCGAAGAATACGATATATTGAAATTAGAATGAACATCGACGTTGCCAATTATTTAAACGATAAAGAACATTTTACGAGCGTAGATATATTTAGACTTTCAGATGGATGTTTAACCTTGTTCGAGATCTTACAAATTCTATGTGTCATCGATCGATATGGAAAAAGGAGGAGCGATCAATGGCTATAGTCTATTTTCAGACGAAAGTTGTTGCCTATAATGGCGACTAGACCAATATAACGATTCGAATTTGTTTGTTGATGTTTGATCGTCTAAAGAAAAAAATAAAAAAAAAAGAAAATGGAAAAAAAAGATGAATATTTTTGAGTACACCGTCTCGTATGAAGAACGTATGTATATGTGTATATATATACACATACACACACATACATACACACATACACATACATGTACGTATCTTCCATTTGATGAAATATTAAAAAAGTTTAATCGAAGACCATTTTGGATTTATCGAAATGGGCCTTCGTCAATGTGTATTCATTGTATAGTTTGTAAGTAATTCGAGAACTCACGAAATATTTCGATATATTTTTTATTCATTTTCCGGACCAAATGCTAATTTTTGTATTGTATCATATCGCCTCATATCGCGTTTAAATATAGATATATCACGTCGAAAGAAATTATATTCTTATGTAAGTATTACACAGATACATAATACGCGTAAAGAAAATGGATGTATAAATATCGTGTATGTACGTATATATGTATGTATTTATAGGTGTAAGTTTTGTTGATTTAGGACATTCTGATCAAAGTGCATTCTCGCGTACTTCGTTACATGTTCGCTAATTATAATTATGTTATTGTCATTTCGCGACGAGCGTTAACCAAAAGTGAATTAAATCGATGATATGTATTTCGGAACTCGATGTTTTATTATCGATATATAAACGTACATTCGCACAATGCATGACGCTTATTCGAATTTCGTCTGGAATACGATAACGAAGAGGAGCCGTTTTTAAACTCGCATGTCAATCTGATACTTAATGTTTACAAAAAATCGTCGTTTTATGACATTTAAAGGCACTATTCGCTTGAATATGTCCATTAATCGTAATATACGTTATCGATAGAACGGAGCCAGAAAAAAAGAAAAAAAGAAAAGAGAAAAGAAAAAAGAAAATCGTTATTGAAGCTTTTATTTACATTTGATAATGGTGTAATGAGAATTTTTAAAATGTATGCGTGTAATGATGGCATAGTAGGTAAATTTAGGGACCATCTTCGTTTCGAGCCTATTATCAAATGATCTGTGCGTAAGAGATACTTCCCAGGAATAATAAAGAAAAGAAAAAGAAAACAAATCCATATTTTAACATAATATACTAGTCACTTACATTAGTTTAAATTGTACGTTCGATAAATGTATAGATTTCTCTTTCGTCTTTTTTTTTTTTTTTTTTTTAACATCATCTCGTCAAAGATATTTAAAAGAATATTATAATTATTATTAAGTTTATTGTTGCAATTGAAAAAAGATTGTAGAAAACTTTTTTCGACAATGATTTCGATCATCTCGCGAACGTCGATACTGTTTTTAAATAAAGTGAAAAATCAAGGTGCAAAGGTAGTAAAAATGAGCATTACATTTTCCAAAAATATGATATTATAGAAATTCTATGATACGAACTGTATGTATGTATATGTAATAAAATTATTGCGTCTAAAAATAAAGAAAAAAACAAAAAAAAAGAAAATGGAAGAAGAGAAAAGAAATTTGGAAACGTGATAGAAAGAACGTTGTATTTTATCGTGTCTGTAAAGTACATGTGAACGTCTTTATTCTTATAATCTATGTTCCATTAGAATGTACATATGTATATTACATGATAATGAAATGGAATTATATATTCATTAAATGGCGATTCTTTTTGTTAACGACGTTTTTATCTTTCGTTTAAGCTGACATTCGTTTCTTTTATATGACCTCCTAACCTCCTGAAGAGATGAATAGCAAATCATTTTTATCCTTATTATAAGCTCCCACGAAACTTATATGATTTTCAATTAACACATGCATAGATTCTCGAAAGTGACGATAGTTTGTTCAATGTTACGAGTTACTATGGAGATCAGTGATAGCACGTTTGTCGCTACCATCGTCTTAAAAATCAAGCAAACGTTTGATTCCCATTCACGATTTTGATTCTTCGAATCTATACGATACCACTCAGCTGTCATCGATAAGAAAAAAGAAAAGTTATTAATTAAACGACGATTTTTAATTAACATTAAACAGAAGTCTCGTCTAATTTGAAAACTTATTAAATCTTTAAAGACGTAAGTAATTATATAACTTTTAAAATGCTTATTAAAAATAAAAAATCTTTAATTTCGTGAATTTATGTTCATCCAATTGGATTTTATATTTTGAAAAACTAGAGAAATAAAATGGTACGACTTCACGTGAAAAAGGGCGATGAGAGTCAATTTCTTTACGAAACGCATGTCAATGCTATGGTGGAAGACGTTTTATACGAGGTCACCATAATTTACAACGGCCGTTTGAAAATTTTAAGAATATGTTACGGTAATCAATCTTGAAAGAATATAATTATAATTATTCTTCAGAGAAGAAGAATCGTATCGAATATAAGAGTGTAACAACACATTGCATTTTCAAATTACACGATGTTAATTTACAACAACAACGCTCACTGTAAATAACGTTGTAATTCATTCACACGTACAAGATCGATGATTTCGTTTAAATTTCTTTCAAAAATAAAAAATAAAAAAAATAAAGAAAAAACATATAATATGAAGATCTACGTGCCGGTAAATAAGACCCTACGGGAATTTTCTTATCATTCTAATAATTTCTTTTCCCCCATATTTTACCAATAGTTGCATTGATGTTCGTTAACATATATCTCTAAGAGTCCTACTAAGAATATTAACGCGAGAAATCCATTAACGATTATCTTGGAGGCTTCACCTGCTGTTTGTAATAAGCCGCACGTAATAAGAAGTCGAGTTTCGACTTTATGAACCTATTCATTCTCGGCGCCATGTGATATTAGTCACACGTCTCGCCGGGATAATAATTATTAGTTGGTGTGTTACGCTTAATTGGCCTTCGTCCGATTCTCTCTTCTCGTTGTACGTTTTATTTTTTCTTTTTTTTTTTTTTTTTTTTTTTATTAAATAGACCATACATAAGAAAGAAAGGGACATAAATAACGTAAAAAGAAAATGAATTTCTTAGAAATCGAGGATCTTGCTAAGCATGGCACAATGTTACCACCAAACATAATGGGACTTACGGAGGAACAAGTTGAAGAGCTTAAACTCAAAGACGAATGGGGTGAAAAGTGTGTACCCATGGGTGGATGGACATTTAACAAGGATGGTGTAGGTACGTTTAGTGATCTTTTCTTATTTTTCTCATGATATATATCATCTAATGAAAATTACAAAAAAAATGTCAGATTCATTGAAATGCAATTATTAAATTTATCATTGTATTTATATATAGGTCGAAGGAATGGCCGTCAACCGAACGAGAAAATGCAACAGATCTTGAAGAATACCGTGGAAGATGCTAGAGCCATGATATCTAAGGTATTTTAATGGGTCGTTAAAGATAAATACGGTCGTTTAAGTTGACATTCTTTGCGTTTCGTAGAAATTGGTGCAACAAGATAAACTACTCACGCAGAAAATCATTCAAGATGCGCTCGATATACTTAGGGGAGCCGTCACGATAGTTTATCCAATGGGTTTACCACCTCACGATGTTATACGCCAAGAATTTGAGAATACCGAGAATCTTACTGGAACTCAAGCCTCTCTAGAGGTAAAATTATCGATTATATTGAGATCATCCTTTTTTTTTCTTTTGTATAAATTAAACATTCTCTTGATTGACGTTTTAAAGATTTCAAATTCTATTTTTTTCTTAATTTATTTTTCAATGTATGAAATTTTATCGATCGATTATATTACTAGAGTATACATAAATACATACATACGTTTTATATTTTTCGTTAATATACAAACGTAAGCGGAAATATATATATTCTACGTATTATCAACAACCTTGCCTCGAGCAACACGCCTGTGTTTACGTTTCTTATTGGTCTATGGCAACGATCGTTGTACGATCATTCCCTAACCAACCTTCATACGGTAAACATGTATTTTCGAAGAGCATTCGAACTCAAGCATTAAAACTTGATATAATTTTACAGTTCTATTTCATATTTTCTTTATAATATTAAAACGTGAAATATTAACGCATAAGACGTACTTAGTTATAAGCATGAACATTTTATCCTTCAATTGCGATGTATTTTGTAATGCGTTTTTATCTACATGATGAAATATCTTTTCCTTCTGTCTCTTTTTCCTCCTTAGGTAATAGACATAAGTTTAGCGCAGTTATGGTTTTCCGGTAAAGAAATGATACAGGGAAAAAAGTTGAAGAACTTCTTAGGCTCAAACGAGAAGACGAAAGTCATCGTGAAATTGCAAAAAAGAGGAGCTGGTATGCCGGGACGAGAACCTTTGATGTCGGAAGAGGAACGAAAGTTATTGATGTTGCACGCCTACAAACGACAGGAACAGATTAAGGTAAGTACTTATTTAAAAAAATTTTTTATACATATTTTTCTCCATACGTCTTCAAAAGAAGCATCGCGAGTCTTAGTCCGTTCACCTTTGAACGATAAGCTGTATAATATTTAATACGAATTTCTTGATTAAGTTGATACCTAACTTATCGACCATATAGACATATCGTACTATATAGACCCTTAGTATCGATTTTATTTCTCGTAACTACCCTATAGCTATTTTTCATCAAAGTACGATGTTACCATCGAAATCGAGATGAGTCACGTTGATACGAGTAAATGCTAACGCTACTCTTTGAATCAATCATGCGTGTTTGCTCTTAAGATGCCTTTTTTAAAATAGGCTAAGCAAATCTGAATGTCTTACGTTTCTTATATATATACATCGAAATAGCATACAAACAAACTTGTCACGTTTGTTTTTCTTTTTTGTCTTTAAACTGAGCTTAGTTTTTGAACTCAACACAGAGAGCTTATATAAATAATTATGATTGTATTCTCTTTACGGGAAATCACAGATCCAATTATTACTATTTTATTATTATTATATAATTATTCGAATTTACGCTTAGAAACATAACATACATATATAACATAACACAACATATATTGTTCGCTCCGTATTAATAAGAAAAGTCTGAGAAAGATGATATCAAGAAGGGTTCTTGATCTTACGTCATCGTCGTCCATTTTGAAAAAGTTTTATTAATACACCCGTATCTCCTATGATACGATCCTTCTACTCGAATTCTTCTCAAATGATATTCATTTTTTGTGTATTTCAAATACAACGTTCATTTTCCTTCTTTTATAATGTGAAAGAAGATAAAAATAGAAATAGAAGAAAAATCATTATTACAACAACTTCATCGAAGATTGTTGAAGAACAGTTTCTAGGAAATCAATCTACGTACAATAACGAACAAACGTTCTTAGGACTTTTTCATTGAGCATCAATCAATAATAAACTTCTCGTAAGGGAGAAAATATTACGAATTGTTTAGAATGATATTTCTGATAACTAATTTTGGTACGTCGTTCTTTATTTATTTTATAAGTCAAAGAATACCAAGTGTACTCCCTATTACCTCTCAATTCGACAATCACTTTAATGAATAATACGTAATGCATACTCTCTCTCTTTCTCTCTCTCTCTCTCTCTCTCTCTCTCTCTCTCTCTCTCTCTCTTTCTCTGCAATTTGCCTTTGCATCGCCCATCGTCAATTAATTTCATCTCATTACTCCACGAAATTAAGCGTTTTACCACATCTCTAGCTTCACTTTCCTATGCTCTTGAATCGAGGGTGGAAGAGAGAGAAAAAGAGAAAGAGAGAGAGAGAGAGAGAGAGACAGAGAGAGTACCATAACAAAGATTTTCTCGTAAAACGGTCACGTTTTCTTGGAGCCACAAGGGAAATTGCCAACTCGTGAATTTTCATGAACGTCACGAAAGAGGGTGAACCACCAAACTATTAGGTAAAATTAATTATACATATTTCTTTTTTTTTCTTTTTTTTCTAATCTTCCCAACAATGCGTAGATATTTATATAATCTTGATCATTCGGGTAGAGAACACGTAATGTTTTTATAGAAAGCTATCACATCGAATGTTTCCTTTTATCTCCTCTATAAAAAATTTATTTCCTCAACGTTTACTATAAAGAAACAATATCTTTCGACATTGTACAAGTTAAAATCGAAGCCGGAATATACAATGTTATGGTTGGAATATTTTAATTACATTTTTAGAGAGGTTCATTACCCATTTTCGATCGATGCTTTGAAAGTGCTCACGCAGTTTCACTTTTAATTTATTTATTTTATCAAAATTTAATGTAACATTTGTTTTTGTTAAAAGAAAATAAAAAAAAAGAAAAAAGGAAATATTTAGAGACGTGATCTTGTAGTAAAATTGACATCGTAGATTGCTAATTTAACTTAAAATTTCTTTTGAGAAAGTACGCTAAATCGATTTTTTTTGACTCTTAGCTCCACTGCGTATAATATTTTATGGGAGCCACGTAGAGTATGAGAAATTAACTAATTAGAGGGCGGAACTTTGCTCGGAATATTATCTCTCTCTATCTGTCTCTCCCGCTCCCTCTCTTGGTGACGTAGGAAAGGCTAGTTCGTTGATATGTATACAAAGCAGCTATTAAAGTATAAGTGTTCGCACGATCTATAATAGAAAGCGATGGTATTGCGATATTGATCAAAGAGAGAGAAAGAGAGAAAGAACGAGGTTCGAGTTCTCTTTTGTGACGGACGACCGAACTCTCGTATTAATAACGCTACAATGATTTTAGTCGAAATCTAGACTAACTTTTCCTTCAAAATTTTCTTACCCATTTACTCTTAATTAAAACTCAGACAAAGCTATTACGTGACTCACCAAAAATAAATGAAAGGTTTTATTTCTTTGATATATATATATATCAAAATAAAATCTAATCTCATTTAATTTACAAAAAAGAAAAAAATAAGTAAATTAATTAAATATTTTTTTTAAGTCAATTTAAATAGCCTTTTGTAATTCATTAGATTAGATAGTAAATAATTCATCGAATATATGTATGAAAAAAATAAAAAAGATCAATTAATCGATTTAATTTGCATTACTAATATTGGATTTACTTTCAGGACGATTTAGATCTCTCTCTCTCTCTCTCTCTCTCTCTCTCTCTCTGCAATTGTCAGATTAGCAACGGCGACTCCTGATATCTCGATGTAAGTACATGTCTCTCGGAGAAATGCAATTGACAGGACACACTCGGCCTCGACCCACATACGTCGCGTGCTAGTGACGACATAAACGCATTTATTTCGATTTTTTCGCTGGTTAAATCGATAATAATACAATAAGATTAATATCGACGTAACATTTGTCATTGAAATAATGACAGTTTTGTCGGAAATATCGATACAGGTTTTTACACGACTAAAATTTTTCCTTATAATTATCGTAAAAATATATTTTCTATAAACAACGACATTTTCGAATTTATTTTTTACGGAAATTCTTTTACGAAATTATTTTACGTAATTCTTCGTATGTTCAAATTTTTTCAAAAAATTTATCTAGAATAAAAAAAAAGAATCCTAAAAAAAAAGATCAAAAATTTATCTAGAATAAAAAAGAAAATATCCGGAGAAAACCATCGACATAATTTCATTATAACTTTAACTTTGAATTTAATTAATCGTTAATTAAATCCGGTGTATCGATCTGCTCACGCAACGTAATTACGCATTGAAATATAATCGTTAGTCTGTTACTAAGAATATCACGATAGGAAGCTATAGCAAGCGATAATTTTCTTTCCTTAATATTTTAATTTCTGTAGATTATTAAAAGGATTAGGAGTATTTAACAACACTGAATCTCGATCTGACGACACTGAATCGATGTTGTATTGAGTGAATACACGAAATCGGTAAATTGAAAGGATTCATCAATTTGATTCAATTCAATTAGAAATAGGCTAAATGAGTTTAATTATTTAAAAATTTATTTTATAGCATGCGCATCATAGATTATATTTGAAGATTATTGCAGTAAATTTTTAGTGGATCGAGACACGCAAGTAGTCACGTAATATCGTTTTCCAAGCTTCTCACGAAATTCAAAAGTAAAAGAAGAGACTACTTTATCCATAAGATGCAAGCTATATCTTCGTTTACGTCGATGTAATATCTCGTAACAGTAATTTGAGTCTAAATTATAAACTATCAAGAAATATCGTCGATTCATCTCTCTTTATCTTGAAAAAAAAAAGAAAAAAAAGAAAAAGATAGGAAAGTAATAATATTAAAAAATAACAATCTCGAATAAACAAGAAAATATAATTTTTCACTTTCCAATAGTAAGTAATAGATAGTATAAATAATAAATAAGTGATACAAATTTAAACAAACATTTTTTATAACTCGTTTTTTTTGGTTTTTTTATTGCACTTTTTTTGTATCTTCAATCGAAATTCCAATTGAATTTTTATTCTTCCACTTGTCCCTCCAGGTTTTATTCCATGGTTGTTGCCATATTCGTTGAGTCGCCTCGGGAGTAGTGCGTGTGCGTTCTTCCCGCGCATGTGTTTTTTTTGGGTGGGAACGTGCAGTCCACGTATATCGATTCGCTTCTTTTAACAGACAGACTTAATTTCGCTTGGGTTTAGTTGTCTCGTATATGTAACATACGTATATACAAATATATATGTATATATATATATATATATATATGTACACACATGTACATACATACATACTTACACACATACACAAACATATACACAACATACATACACGTATTACGCATTCACACATACACACATATACATATACATGTAGACATTTATACATACATACATGAAAACATATGAATCAAAAGAAAAAAAAATCGACTGATACAGTATATTTACTTTGGAAAGAGACAAAGAAAATAAAAGAAGTAACAAAGAAAATACAATTTTTACGATATACATTTATTACAGATCGTTATCATACAAAAAAAATACAATTTTTTCATGTTTCTCCATTAATAGAAACATTTTTTAGACAGTTATATAATGTGGCCACATTTTTATTCGGATATTTCTTGAACTAAAAGATCACGAAATTTTTATCGCGATCAATATCTAAACGGAAGAGAAGGCACATAGATTAACAGTGAATTTAGAGATCGGTAATTTATCTTGGTACGTATATGTTTTTGTTTTATACACGTAAGAACTTTCTCTCGTTATATTATTTTTTTTTGTTTTTATTTTTTTACTCGCTTACCACGGAAGATATCCAATGAAATTCGTTATATATGTAATCTTATAAAATATTTTATACGTATAATTGAAAAATTGCAATGATGAGAATGTTAAATGTGAAATATAAGCTGACACCGATATACATTTCTAGTCAATATTACATGTAATTAGATCGTATGTTTAATGTAATATTTTCTTTTCTTATAGTTTTCAAACGATTATCGGCTTATGGATCATACACGCATATATATATATATATATATATATATATATATATATATATATATACATATAATTGAACATAACTAGTACTTCGTTCTGGAAACAGACGATGATTAAGTGGTCATAAAAAACCACTATACTCTTCTGCCATATATCCATATGATTACTCTCACGAATTCTTAATGTCCTATGCAAATACGTCTTGCTTTTAATTAACGCAATAAGACTTTCGAGAGTCAATATATCGATCGATGGCGTATCGAATAATTCTCGCCGTATAGAAATGCTTTGAATTATGATAATAATAACATTTATTGTTGATTTTCTTTGAACTATAATTCAGTTATAATTTCGATTTCGAATCAATAACAAATTTTATGTTCGTTACTTTCGTCATTCATTATACGCGATATCTCAGAATATCGGGAAATATTTTAGGGATGATTTCAACGCATCTAAACAATAAAAATAATTCACAGAAACATATTTGATTTTGTTTACGAATTATAGTGGATATGATTTTTAACAAAGTCCATCTGCTTACTTTTACATATAACACTGCTTTTGAATATAACACTGCAAAATATCTTACTAATAAATTTTTTTTCATATGTTCTGATGTTGATTGGATTTGCTGAAAAATTTATTTAATTTTTTCATTTCATTGAATTTCATCAATCTAACGAAAGAACAATTATTGCGATAAAAAAATTCGATTGTAACTCGAAAACGAAGTTAAATAGGACATATTTTTGTATGCATTTTTTTTATTATTTAGATGTGCTTAAATAACCCTTAAAATATCTCCATATTCTTTAGACATTCTGCATAATAATGATAATGATGATGATGATGATGATGATAATAATAATATATAAGTAATACATATATAGAAGAATATCCGTTTGTGAACAAATTATATTATTTTCGTTTAATTGTTCGATCATCTTAAAGATTTCTTTGTTTCTTTTTATTTATTGTTTCTTATTTTTTTCTTTTTTTTTTTTTTAATTTTTGTTTTAGTTTTTATTCTTCTTCTAAAGAAAATTAAAGGCAGTTGTAGCTGTTGAACTGACATACAAAGTTATACATTATACACAGATTAAGTAAAATACTCTTATTCTAAAGAAAGTTCTCGAAAAATAAGAACTCGTTTCAAAAAGACGATACTTATCTTTTATGTTAACGCTAGAGCGTTAAAAAAAATTTTCGTAGAACACCCCTTATTTCGTAACAATATATTATATATATATATATATATATATATATATATATATGTATATATTTATATATATATAGGTCTTCTCCTAAAACTACTTTTGTACATACACGAAAGCTTGTCACCGAAAGCCGATCATGTAAATCTAACTCTTTCATATTAATCCTTCCTTTTTTTATATCGATATTAATCGATAGGAACGACAGAGTAATACGGATTTCATACAGATACTTTAGAAAATGTCGGATCGGTTTAAGTTTGACACGCAATGGTCACGATACATCGAAGGCAACAGTGATCTAATTATTATAAATATTTCTCATAATAAATGCACAGTATATAAATATACAGTTAAATACATATATTATAATTTGGCCCCTATATGGGTATATTTGTGTATGTATTTAATATCTTTTTTACTTTTCTTTTTTTTTCTTTTCTTTCCATTTCTTTTCTTTTGTTTTCTTTTCTATTCAATTTCATTCGAATTATCGCGTCGGGAAGACGATGTGTGTAATAAGATCTGTAATCTTAGCTTTTTCTTTCATTTCCTTGCTTTTACTTTCCTTGCGTCTATAAACGTATTTCGATGTTTTGTCGATTCTTTTCTATTTGATTTAGTTTTCCTTTTAGAAAGAATCTTCGGCTTCGTCCGTGTCGATCAACGGCAATCTTTCGTATTTCAAGGAATTGCTCATGCCGAGCGGTGTAAACTGCTAGAGCGACATACTTCTGATCTCATTCTCATTGGTATGATCTTGAGGAGTAGTAGGTGTACCTTCAACCAATCCTTCGTCCTCGCCCTCGTCCTCATTCTTCTCTGTGCAATATCTACATCGCATCTTAGCGTCATCGCCAACTTGCACTGAACGAGTTATCACAATCAAGGTTATCAAGCTGATAACGAAAAGTCCCGACGGTACGATGATAGCGATAAGCAACTCGGTTTTTGTCTTGTTCAGATCGAAACGTGCCACAACAAAGAACGAGTCGTTCTGCAAAATGCAATGTTAAGTTACTTTTACTTTATTTCTTTTTCTTTTTTTTTCTTTCTTTCTTAAAAACGATTGAGAATGAACATAAATGATTTTTTTCTTTTGCAATTACGTGATTGCAAACTAACTTTATTTTAGTTTGCTTTGTTCTGCTCGAATATAGATAAAAATTAAAAACTAGCAAGTTCACTTTGCAATTAAAGTAATTGCATTTTGCCATAATGTAATGAATGTCATGTCGTACATATGTAAGTTAATTATATTCTCTCTCTCTCTCTCTCTTTCTCTCTCTCTCTCTCTCTCTCTCTCTCTCTCTCTGTCTTTTTCTCCCTTTATCTTTATCTCTCTTTTTATTACTATTATTTGCGATACAATAACGAATAAAAAATAATCGATATTGATAAAAAAAATGTATATAAACGATAAATTTATGTTTGATTATAATATTAAGATGCATACTGTGTATGAATGAAAAATTTCGTGGTTTGATACACAGGGAAAATGGATCGTCATTTTTAATTCATCCCACAATTGTTCCACATTCATCGTGCAACGCTTCGAAGCGTATTCGATTGCATTTAAACCACTTCGTATTCTGTTATTGCGAGTACATATTAAATCCGAGCAAAAGGCGTTTATCCTTATCGAATCCGATGTATATATATACACATAGACACGTATATATACACATGTTTGTGTGTATTGCATCAGGAAGACAGTAAAATAGTATATTAGCACATTAATTGTATTGAAAACCAATTTTGCTTAAAAATTTACAAATTATACTTATTTGTCGGTATCAAACGTTTTTCATATTTTCTTTTCTTTTTTCATAAATAAAAAATAAATCGTAATTCTCTGTGATAATCTTTTTCATTTTTTCTTATAAGAAAATAAATAACGAATCTTTTAAATGTCTAATAAGTAAGACGAAATAAATTTAAGAGCAATGGATTAAATATAGTTCATAGTCATCGTGTTAAAAAATCCTCACGATTACATCAAGAATCGAAAAAAAGATATTGGGTTATTTATTTCTGTTTTTTTTTTCTTTTTCATGTCTCACAGAACATTATCGTAAAAATTATTTCATCCTCGAAATAGTAGACATTTTTTTATTGTAAATACTAGTTGCTTTTTCTTTGTGATAGAATCACAAGGTACGGAAATAAACAAGGATTCGCAAGAGGGATTCGATGTCTCTCTAGGGGAAGATAAAGGAGATAGTAGTACCAAAGGAAAAGAGATAGTAGGAAAGATATTTCTTAAGAGCAAGCAAACTCACCTTTTTGTAATAACAGGGATATCTACTTTGAGCCGTTTGATTGTCGCCATCTCGTCCGTGACTTTTAAGGAAATCACGACACTCACCCTTAAGAGTGTTGACGCAACCCTCCAGGTTGATGTACAAACGCGAATTGTTGTAGATTGTAAGTGATCGTTGGGCGGGCATGTAAGCATTTTCTGAATCGACGGGATACTGAAGACTTTCCTCGTAAATATTGAGAAAACTTGTAAAATTGACATAGTGTTCGGGAATCGTGATTTTATTCAAAGACGTGCCGTTAACGCAATCTTCCGTTCTAAAACATATTAATCATGTGATGAATGTGTATAATATAACTTTTATACATATTATAATTTTTAATTACATTGATTTTAAATTATTACATGATTTTAAAAAATAACTAAGAAAAAGGGGTGGAATGATAGAAAGTTAATATGTTGGGTATTTGTGGAAACCTGAGTAAAGGATAACTTCGTGTTTTTTCTTAGAGTTGAATTGAACAAATCGGTATGTCGAAACGACATCCATAAAAATTTTACGCGTCGTCCTACACAGAAAAATGAAGGAAATATTAGAGAATCGAGTATAGTCCGCAGGGATCAATGGTTGCTATGGAAATACCCTTAATACTTTTTTATCTAGTAAGAAAAGGATCTATGACTCACTACGATGTGCAATATACTTCTGAATGATAATATCGAATGAAATGCAATTAAAAGAGAACTTATTTAGGAAACAGGAAATACGTTCCTTGTATTAATGATCTCGAGATCATCTTATAAAATAGCACTTTCTTGAATTTTTATCATTTATTTACTCCTGCGTAAGATATTATATTATTGATATTGAGGGACTCTGTCTTAATAGCAACGATGATTTCTTTGATAAATGTTTCCCCTCTTTTACATTCTATCGTTGTTTCTAAATGATACACGTTGAATACACGTTCTTGAATTTATTTTATGCTATTCGTTGCAAATGATGCATCATTTCCGTGGGAAAACAAGTAGCAATCAATAATTCGAATCTCCGGTTGAGCTATCCATCATCGTTGATAATAAATTTAAAGAAATTTTTCTACGCTACATTGAAACTAAAATTCATTTTCCCCGAGTAATTGATTCGAATATCGCGTAGTATTATCGATGACAAGAACGATAAGTCGTAAATATTATGAAACGATAATTTACGATTGAAATTGACATTTTGTTTGAATTTAGAGATATTCGTATTCATACCTAATGATGTTTCCTTTTTTGCTAACCATTAGACAACTTGCAACGATGCTACCACTTTCTTCATCCCAAATCTTCACCGGATCTGTTAGTCTCGTACCAGGCAAATTTCCATTAGCTTTATTCAGTGCTAAGCCATGAGAACACTTAGCCGTGATGACGTTATCGTCTTGCATGAGAAAGACGTTGATATCGTTCGTGATTATCTTAGGGCAGTATCGATCGCACGAGAAAGGCTTCTTGATTTTCGTACATCTCGAATTCTGGCAACTGAAGAAGCCATTAAGTTTCATATTATCTTTCTCACTGTCGACCATGATACCGTCCGCCTTATGATGACAAAGCATCAATTCGCTCATATTCGAGCAATGTCCTAAACTGCAATTGAACACACCCGAGAGTGTGCTACATTCGCTGCCATTATTGCAATTGTATTTCTTCAGATTTCCCATGTTCACCTGGAAAACGGGCAAATAAAGAAGATAGATTAGATTCGTTTCAATCGATTCGTTGTGATCGTTCGACCATAAAAAAGAGAAAGAGAAAGAGACAGAGAGAGAGAGGGAGAGAGAGAGAGGGAGAGAGAGAGAGAGGGAGATAGAGAGAGATAGATAAAGAGAGAAAGAAATAGAGGACAAAGGCGAGGACAGATAAAGCTAATAAAAACTAATCATCGATTTTTAGTAAAAAGATCTAATCCCATTTTTCTAAATGGAATATATATGAACTACTTGTCATGTTTATAGTGAGTATCACGTATTTGTGAATAGTATTTTTTCTTAAATGTTCGTGTGAAAGTGCACACCCTCCAATTTCTATGTACATACATATATACATAGATAAACGGATAAGCGAAAGAAACAGAATGGCCGAAAATTTTGGTTATTTTTGGACAGCTTGTATGTTATCCATCGAAATCTTTGTTAACCTATCTCTCGAAAATAAATGGTTTTATTACGATCATTGAGAATGATAATGTCATAAATTGATTAATTGAAAGAATGGAGATCGGTGAATTAAAAAGAAAAATAATAAAATAAAATATCGATAGAAATAATTTTGTTTAATCTCAAAGCATTTCAATTAACTTCAAAATACGCTTTTGTATTCTTTACGAAAATCAATCTCGAACATTGATCTGTTTTTTTTTCTTTTTCTTCTTCTTCCTTTTCTTTTTTTCCTTTTTTTTTTCTTTCATGCTCATTCGTTCTATCAACGAATTCTTTGTTAAAAAACATTTATTCTTGCTCTTTCTATAGAAAGATACTAATCATCGATTTTTAGTAAAATAAACAGAAAGATGAATTATATATCTATATGAAACAACGATCGACGAGGAAGAGGATATTAAGTAAATTATGTTTTTTTTTTTTTAAAAAGCACTCGAACTATAATATTCCTTTGATTAGCCTCTGACACAAAAGTTTTCAAAGTGAATTCATCACTCCGATGTACCTGCCTATTATAAAATTTGACTATATAGGATTAGTATAATATAACTTGTTTTCTTCGTTAGCTACGCGTATCTTCCCACCTTCTCATGGTCATATTTTTTATAATTTTATTTAAAAAAGAAAGGAAAAGAAAATACTGGATACTTAATTACGAAAATAGAAAAATTTTGCTCTCTCTTTCTCTCTCTCTCTCTCTTTCGTTCGTTCATTTAAATATATGGATAGAAGTCGAAATAATAAGGAAAATATACAATAAATTATCATTGATTCAAAAAAAGGTATCGGGTTTAGTCATATTTTCATGACATATTAGATAATGTAAATGATTTTTCGTAGATGATAAAGGATTATTGTATCTGTTTATATATGTATATGTATGTGCCAATTCAAATGAAACGTAAAGCGTTCTCGTGATTTTCTTTCTCGGATTAAAAGTTTCTTCACGTAAAACGTATTTAATCGATAACCATTTGCACTTAGTATATCGGATTAGAGAAAATTCCTTCGAATAGGAACTTTTCCACGATCATACCTTTTAATCCGTGATGATATATATATTTTTGCCAAAAACATCGAAAACCGAAAAAAACGATAAAAAAAGAACTCTTCTTTATCTTATAAAAGTTTTATCTATTATGGTTTCGATTACTTTTCGTTGGTAGTATTTGAGCTGCCATGGTTATTTTGCTACTCGTAGAGTGATAGGATCATCCATTTTATGCGAAGGCTCGTGCTACTTCTTGAAATACGAAAAATAAAATGTTTCCAGGATATTTATCCGAGCTTTTTTCTCTTTTTTCTTTCTTTTTTCTTTTTTTTTAATTCTATTAACACGAAAATTTATCGATAAAGAATAAACGTAAATTCTTAAGGAAAGAAAAAGAAAACATTTGGCTCTTTTTCTTCTTTTCTTTTTTTTCTTTCCTTGTTTTCGTTTCATTCGCTTACTTGAGGACAAGAGATGCTATTGAACTTGGTGCAATTTTCAAAGATGACGTCCGTGCCATTCTGTCTGACCGTTGCGTGAATTTGGGGACAAAAGCCGGTAGTTTTCGTCAAACACCATTCACCGCAACTCGCCCATATACAGTTATTTACTAGAGTGGCATTAACTGTTTGGCACATTACCGGATCGGGATCTATACCTGCATGAAAAGCTCTGCAAATAATTTAGCGAGTCTCATTAGAATTCTGTCTATCTGCTTGTCCGTTTATTTGTCTGTCTGCCATTAAATTCTTTTCGTTGATCATTATGTTAAATAATTTAAAGAATAAAAAGAATAATTCTTTAATTAATTGATAAATTTAAAAACTTCCTTTTTCTCTCGAAATTTGATTATTCGCGTTTTAAAAGTTATCTTTTAATTAAGAATTTTAAACGATGTTTTTTATTTTTTCTTTTTTTTTTTTTTTATATCTTACATCGATTATCCTATATGCTTATTAGATGATGCATATTATAATCGAATATAATTTTCAAATATTCCTAATTCTAATTGTCATTGTCGATCTAATATATTTACATTATAAAATGAGATTAGATTATAGATGTTTACCTGTGCGACGGCATATAAATCGCAACGCTGAGGTAAACTAAAGCCACACAACTGATGACAATGGTGAATTGGCAAAAGCAGATACTGCCGCATATCCTGCGATCCTGTTCCGGTATTAAACGACGCTTGTGTTTCCGTCCCATAGTGAGTTAAATACTTTTGTAATTTACACTGACAATCTTAAGATGCCTCTGGATTGTATTTTAAAGAAAAATTAAAATCCGTGAAACGAATATTTGTTAAAAGTGGATTATGGTAATCCTTCGAAGAATGATCTCTCTCTCTTTCTCTCTCATTGATTCACGATATTAGAGAAAGAACGAATATTAAGAAGAATGAATGCAAGTACGAATGCGAATTAAAACTTTCTCCGACATCGATTGAAAACTATTTTGTTACGACATAAAAATTTTACGAAGAACCGGAAACCTTTTAAAGTTGTATTATCTTCCTTCTCTTTCTCTCTCTCTCTCTCTCTCTCTCTCTCTCTCTCTCTCTCTCTCTCTCTCTCTCTCTCTCTCTCTCTATTTCTCTCTCTCTCCCTTATATATTTTTTGTATTTCCTTACTACTTCGTTCATCCACTACACGTTCTGACTTTTATTCGTCTGACGTCATATTCGTAGAAGCGACGAACGTTATCCATCTGTCGTAGGTAATTTTCGTGGAAATTCTGAATAATCGTTAAAAGAAAACTACCCTGTCAATTCTAAGATCCGATAAAAATCAAGGACCCTAAAAAAATTTGTGAAACTTTCAACGCTCGCATTACTCTTCTTCTATGTTCTTTTTTCTCTTTTTATTGTCTTCTTTTTCTTTTCGTCTTTCCTATTACCGTATCATAGCGATACTCTTAAGGCAATTACCACGTGTTAACTTCATTAAACAAGGCGTCGATATAAACAGATGCACTCCACCGGATGACGTACAATTAAGTACTCGTAATCCCATTACCGCATAAGAGAGAGAGAGAGAGAGAGAGAGAGAGAGAGAGAGAGAGAGAGAGAGAGAGAAAGAGAGAGAGAGAGAGAGAGAGGGAGAGAGAGAGATAAAGTACTGCAATTTTGCGAGGATGGCCTTTTATCGATCGAAAGGAAAGTCACAATGTTTGTCCGGTATAAATCGAGAGACACTTTCGAACGATCGAATTCTACGAAGTTCGATATTTTTCTTTCCTTAGAAATGGCAAAATGTCGTTTTACCTCGTTTAGATCGTGAGAACGATAATTACGTATACATCTAGATGAATATCGTTCAAGCGAAAACTCATAAGTTGGCCTCGTTGCACGTTCGTATAGTCTTTGAATGTCATAGATAACCTTGGATCGAGCGATCAACCTTTCGCACTATCGCAGACGGCGAGGATACACTAGACCTTCTTCCTCGATTTAATATCGCATGTTTGATGACGATTCGCTTTATGCAATAAAAATTCACGAGCTTCGCGAAATTCTTTTTACTATTTGTTCTTTTCTTTTTTTTCTTTTTTTTTTGTTTTTATTTCTTTTTTCGTTCGTCGTTTCGATTTAAAAAATTTTTGTTTCTTTAAATAGAATCTTATTACCTTAATTTTTCGTGTTTCGTCAACGAGACGAAGATCGAAAGTCACATAAAATGGAGATTAGTCTTAGTGATAATTTCATTCGTGAATACGTCTCGGAAATCGTCAATTTTACGGAGTCCGCGATCTTATCATTTTTCGTGATGTACCCTCGTGACTTTTATTAACCGTTGTAATTAACGTCCTGATTAAAAGGCTTCGAATAAGCATGAAGAACGATGCCGAAAATACGATCGAAAGATCGATCTTGAAACGTTTCACTTTTGAAACGTCAACGTAACCGATATCATTCGTTGATATTACAAGATCGTATGATCTACGAATTAACTTCTATAGATGACGGTTGTTTTTTGATTATATATAAAAAAGAAAAAGGGAAAGAAAAAAGAAATTCACAAGTTTGTACGCGAGAAATGAAATCGCCGAAACGACTTTTTACTTTTTTTACTTTCGATTTTGAAATTTGTCCGGCACTTGATTAATAATTTTCTTTCGAAAGGTCTCAATTTTTGACATTAAATTGTTTAACAACACGTCGAACGAGATTCCTCGAAGGGATCTTCAAGATTTTCTTTTCATTCCCATCCATCCTTCACAAATTTCGCAATTGTTTTTAAGAAACGATGATCCATCGGAGAAAAAGAGATCGCGTCGATCAAGAAGCTCGAACGTACGCGAGGCACCCGTTCAACCTCGAAGACTGTTTGAAAACAAGGTCTGCAGGCCGACGTATACCTTGCAAGCTCTTCACATACTGAGCTTGCGCCGTGGCAACTCTTTATGTGGGTAGCCAGCGACATAAATGTTCCCCCATAATACGGCTTAAAACTTAAACGTTCGCTTGGGAAAAGTTAGAATGCTATACGTAAAACCTTATCCAAGTTGAATGTGTTTCCTTTTTGTATAAAAAATTGACAAATACGATCGAGCTTTTCAAATATATTTTCAATCTGATTGAGCATTCGATTGATTTTATTCTTTTTCCAAATTTTTTCTTCTAATTTCTTTTTTCTTTTTTTCTTTCTTATTTTCTTTTTATTTTTATTCTCGAACTTGATTTTTCGAAAGATACAAAATATAAGAAAGGATATATTTTTTCTTTTCGTATCTTTCGAAACGATGATTACGCAAAAATAACAAAATAATTATACGAATTAATAATTGATAATATAATAACGCTGTTATCTCAATAATCGATAAGCCCTGCCGAGATTATGAAAGAATATTTCTCCGGTTTCACATCATCCGATCTATTAAAATGTATTAAGCTTTCATCATCAGATAAGGGAAATTCAATAGCGTTTAATGAAAACAATCTTTTCAATGTAAAAATAAATGGATTATTCGAATTACCTAACTCTATGAGGTATAAAGAGAAAAATTTTTCTATGAAATTCATGAACGATGATTCATTTCTATATATTGAATTAAGTTCAACAGATAATCCTTGTGCCAAATAGTATAAACAAAGTAGCACCATATCCAACAGGTCATTTTCTATAAAAATACAAGTGTTTAGATGAATGTGTGTATGTGTAGAAAATAGAAGAATAACGAGGCACGTGTAAAATACATATATATTATCTTATATAATAGTTTTCTTTTAAAGAAAAACATTTTTCCCTATGTATTTTTATTAAACGGAATCATACAATTCTTGTTCTTATTTACAATAGTCCTTTAGTGTCGCAGGGCATATATTTTATTATTTATACAATATGCTATTTACAATATATATCCAGATTTAATCATTCGTAGATAATGAAGCTGCGAAAGAATCTCTTTCAGTAGATCGTTGAAAATAGTCGAATAGCGAAAAGGGAAGCGTTTATTTCAAGAGTATTCGTGGTAATTTTTATTAAAATTATTTACAGAGAGAGAGGGAGAGAGGGAAAAAGGGAAAGAGAGAGAAAGAGGCGATGGAGGAAATAGTCATAGGAGAGGTAAAGCGACGGAAGGAGTTAGAAAGGATCGATATCGGAGTTAAAAGTTTATAATAAGTGCAAAGACGCATTATTATTATCTATTAAATAAGAAGAAAATATAAGGATAGAAATAGATAGATAAATAGATAGATATAATTGAGTGTATGATAAAGAGGAAAGAGAAAGTAAAAGCTTTACGTTAGTTACATAACTATTTGTAGAAATGAATTTCACATGCACTGCCGTTCTCTAACTTACTATAGCATTTATGTAAACCTTGCCCTATGGATTCTAAACCTTGCAGAAATAATTGAATAACTCTATTACCATTGTCTCAAAATAACTTATGCAATATTTTCCTAATATTAAACTCGAGAAAACGTTATGTATCGTTGTTTTTTCATCGGATTGATCTTTCTTTTTGTTATCACTCGCCGTTTTTTAATCATAAACAACTACGGCCTAACAAGGTACGTACGTATGGACTTATCGATCTGATGAATCGAACAATTGGCACTAAAATACAAACATTCTTACGGCAACACATTGATATGATTTAAGAACGGACCTTTTCAAAAGAATTTTTTAAATCTCGATACTTCGTCGTTAAAATGCTTCATCTTCGATGATATTTGTTAGGTATATTAAATTAATCGTGGAAAAGGAAAAAAAAAGAAAATTGACGAAGGAGGCCCATAAAATAAAACAATTATGTCTTTCTATCGTTTATCAAATCCTTTTCCACGTTTATAATATGCAATGAATAGAAATCGGTTAGTAGCAAGCTTCGAGAGGGGAATGAGTGCCGTAACTCTTTGGTACTAGTCAAAAAGAAAGAGAGAGAGAGAGAATCTAATTCTTCTTTCTGTTACGTTGACACCTACCTCAAGTTAGGCATAATAAAGAATTCACAACCATTCTAGATGTACGAGGTATGCGAAATCCTTTCCATAAACTTCGAAACGTTCTATAGAATTATTCAAATAAATCGACGAATCATGCACGGATCATTGATAAGTTTCCCAAAAATATATAATCTATGCTATATCGTTAATAACGACTATGATTTACGAGAATCTTTTGCTTTTCTTTTTTTTCTTTCTTCTTCATAATAAAAACGAATAATTTAATTTTTCATTAATCGCGAAAATTATTGCTAGAATAATATAAAAACTCGCGTCAAACTCGTTTCGTAGTTTACAGAAATGCAAATCGCTCGACCACCCATCAAAAACGTTTAACTTAACAATTCATATTCGTTTGCTCATACAGACAGAAACACACATACACATGCACACGTACACATACACACGTGCGCTTAAATGTATTTATTTTCCTATTCACCCCTTAACGACTAGCACTGCGTGAGCATGCGCGCCCGCATATAAAATTTGTAACAATACTTATGATCGATCGTTTAACAACTAATTAATAAGATAATATTCACAGATTTCGCTTAACGAGTTAGACTTAGTCTAAAATTTTTTGGTGCGATAAGAAGTCCTAGAATCGAACGTGTCGTCGTTCGCCTGCTATCCTTCTTTTTTCTTTTTAATTGTTATTTTTGTTTATATCGGAATACGATCGATGATAATCTAAATTTCAACAATCATATATTTATACACACATATATATATATATACATATATATATATACATATATATATATACATATATATCGAATCTTTTAAAATTTTCTTTCATCGATAATCTTGTTAAATATTTCTCCATAACATTTATATTCTTTTCCGTAATTTATTTAATTTCAATAATTTGAACTATCGTCGAACGACCACACGAGACGAATATGATACACATACATACACACACATACACACACATTATTTGTGTGATTTATTACATACGACGAATTAAACGAATCGAAACTATTCCTGGGAAATACGATCTCGCATGAAAAAAAGCTTTCCGAGAGAATCAAGTAAAAGAAAGCTCTGGCACTTGCGGCATCGATTTCCCTGTCCCTTTGTCTTTAGAAACGACTTAACATCGAAAGGGGCAGCTTAAACGTTACTTAAGATACGATTTGCTCTTTTCTGATTCTTTTACTCCGTATTTCTTATTTTTCTTTTTTTGTTGCTTTTTCTATCTTTTTTTTCTTTTTTTTTGTATCACAAACTGCTTATTCTAGTAAAAATGTATGCTGCTTAAAAGCGTACCGCTTTGGTAACTTCGCCACTTTTTATCTTTACATTTTTTTTCTTTTTTCGGAAAGCTTACTCTTTTATACCATTCTTTTCGATATCATCTTATTTATTTATTTTTATTCTTTTTATTACTCTTTATGATAAACATATCACGTGTGTATACGTGGGAAGGCGCGGCTTGATCACGACGAACACTTTCGAATCGTGTTTTAGAATACTGGTAGACGATCTAGGCGTTCTTCAAACTCGACTCTCGACTTACTTTACCTCGTAAAATTTAATATTCATACTCCGTTAACGTCTCCGTTATTAGAGATCGGAGTCGAATTATTGCCTTCGTAAAATTGCGACACGAAAAGTTCTGTTCGTACTTCTTTCTTCTCTCTTTTTTTATTATTCAAATATTGCGAAGAGTACGCGAAAATTTAAAGAAGAAAGGGTGCAAAGTATTATCGTACTATCCTTTATCTATGTGCAAATAGGATTGATGGTACGAGGCCTAGAAGGAATAAAATTATCTTTTTTTCTTTTTCTTTGTTTTTTCTCTCTGAAAAACGTTTAAACTTTCATTTAATATCGTTACGTAGTAACTGTTTTATTCGAAGCTTCGTTTAAAATGACAATTAGAAAAAATGAAAGAAGGAAAGAGAGAGAGAAAGAGAAAGAGAAAGAGAAAGAGATAGAGGAGAAAGAAAGAGAGAGAGAGAGAGAGAGAGAAAGAGAGGAAGAAAAAGAGAAACAGAAAAAATTCGTATTATCGCTAAACTTTCATACATGCTTACTATATTAATCGTAATAAAGCGGAACAGTAGTTGAAAAAGACGCGAAAGTCGAATATATCGAAATTGGCGATGAATGGGAAGCAACGACCGAATGCGATGATGTCTCTCTGATCGTTTTCTCTTTTCTTTTTCTTTTTCTTCAAAATCATTATTTGGATATCGAACGTTTTGATCGACGAGTATCCGAAATATTTCGCTTAAATTTTCAAACATAAAGTACGTTGGAGTCGCTTCGATAATATGTTTGGCGTCACTCCCGTGCCGGGGGGTGAGCCCGTGGTAGCAGTCAGTACTCCTCTTCGTCCTCTTCGAACTCGTCCTCTCCGAGGATGCTGAAAATGCCAAAACGCAATGCGTCATGTTTATATTTATAATCGTGTATAAAATTAATTCGAGCTTTTACTTCACACATACACACACACACACACACATATATGCATATATACATATACACATATATATATATACATGATACTGAGTGACCCACTCTAATTTTCATGATTTTTGGAAATAATTTTTTTTTATTCATGATATTGTTATATTACGAATTTAAAAAAAATAAAAACAATAAGATATCCTGTATAAAATAGATCGAATCGAAGAGATTTAATGGATTTTTGTTATATATATGATATTGAGTGACCCACTCTGATTCTCATGATATCAAAAAAATAATTTTTTTCTTATATATATTATTATTTTTTTTTTAATATGGAATCAGTTATATATCCTGTATAAAATTGATTGAGTCGAAGCAATTTAATGAATATCAAACTTTCTTCTAGCCACACTAGGCACTGCATACATACACGTTACTTACTCTTCCTTTCGGTCGTACTTTTCAATGAGATTTCGACTAGGTCCTCCGCAGGTCTTCCTAACGGGTGGGCAATACCAATAGCACAATACACCAAGGGAGACAGCGAATAAGACAATTGGTACGACCAACGCCAGTACGAGATGTTTCAAATTTTCATCCCAAGAATACCTTTCAATGTAAATTCGGTAAGAATGATACTTTTCTGTTTTCGATTATTTGTTTATTTTTTCTTTTTTTTGATCGAAATAATATTAAACATTAAAAAGAAAGCAACAAAATTATACTTGTTAGGACATTATTCATCGATAATTAAGATCGACGAAACTCACCTTGCCACTACCGTTTCTGGATGCGTTCTACTGTAATAACATGGAAATATTTTTCCTATGTTACGATAACCATATTTTTTTGCAAAATCGGAACAATTAACTCTTGGTGGATAGCCGCAACCTTCCGTGTTAACAAAAAATTTCGTATCGCCTACGTCCCACGGTACGGAACCAATTGGTTTTTTTATAAATTGGTTGAAAGGTAACCTCGTGTAATTCACTTTGATCTGATGGCATCGTAATGCTGCACTCGTGCAACCTTTATAATCAAACAGACAAAGTATAATTATAATTTCACGTCGGAACTATCTTCATTTGGACATTTTTTTTAATAATAATAACAATACCAGTAAACAGACAAACAATAAATCCAAAAAAACATGAAAGAAATCTTTTGGTAATTCTATTGAATTCTATCGAATTATCAAAAGAAGAGAAAAATATGAATGATAAAGTTTTACCTTCTCTACAACTCGCCCATGAACAATTCTTCAAGCCTTCCGCATAAACGTGTTCCGTAGTGATGCAGGCGACCGCGTGTGGTGAAAAATCCGCAAGAATCGTCGAGATCGCTGGCTCGACAACGAACGGTATCAAGAATAGAAAAGCAAAGACCGCGAGAATAGCGGTGGTACCCAAACAGAGAGACGTGTAAAATTTAGCCTTCTCGACCAATGTAGCAACCTTTGCCATCGGTATGACACCGCCGATGGCACTCGATTTATTAGATTTGGTGTCCTCTTCCTGGGCACCCATGATAACTGTTGACTCGTCGGAATCAATGATTGGTATCTCTTCAGGGTCAAAAGGACCCCGCTTATGTCGATTCGGACGAGTTTTATTATCTGCAATCGACGGAGTCACAACGACTCTCGTCGTTGGAAATTCGAATCTTCGAATTTTGCCGTCGAATTAATTTAAAAAAAAAGTATTTTTTTTATCCCAGGCGAAGTCTCAAAGCGATATAATCAAAGAGAAAGGATCGATCGATAGATTTCGTACTATGAACATGGCAATTCGATATTTTTTCTTCTTTGCTTTTCTTTTTTCTCTTTTTTTCTTTTTTTCTTTTAATCACTTATTATTTTTCTCAGGAAGCAAACAAGGCGGCGGAGTAATATCGGATAGGCCAGCAAATTTTTTTTTACGACACGGAAAGATATTCGTCAAATTTCTTTTATTTCTCTTTTTTCTTTCTTTCTTTTTTTCTTTTTTTTTTCTTTTTTTAATTTTTGTCTGCTCTTCCCTTTTATTCCTAAAGCCAGACGTTCGTCGACGTGGCTAATACTAAACTTTTTCTTTTTTTTTTTATTTATTTATTTATTTATTTATTTATTTATTTATTCATTCATTCATTTATTTATTTATTCCTTTTTTTAATCTTTGAAGCGTGCACGAGCGTTTGGTGCGTTTGTTGTAGTAAATTTACGATAAAAATCGCTCGGATCTTAAAAATGTGAACTCTGTTTTCTTCTATCTACGTATACATAATCTCGTCGCGGCGAATCAATCAATCAATCGATCAATCAATCAAGAAGAAGGGGGACTCTTAAGAGCTATATACGAATACGCCGAATTTTCTTTTTCTTTCTTTTTTTTCCTTTACCTTTATCCTCTTCTTGCCTTTTTTACTTTTTATTTTTTTTTGTTAGATTTTATTTCACGATAAAAAGCTTATCTATCATATTTCTTTTAATGATCTCCCGAACGAGTTGTATAACTCGTCGATACATAAAAAAAAGAGAGGCGGAGCCAACAAGAAGCCTATTTTTTCTTTCTTTTATTTTTTATTTTCCTTTTTTCTTTTTAATATCTTTCTCTCACTCTCTCTCTCTCTCTCTCTCTCTCTTTCTCTTTTTTCACTCTTTCTCTCTTTCTCGTCGCATGCAGTATGCACGATAAGAAATGCGCTTGTAGAATGCGTAAAAATGTGCTGCGGGCAGTGCGTAAAGAAGATACCGGACTTCAATTAGCTCCCTCTCCTTTTTATTTATTTTCTTGGAAATTTTCATAAAAGTATTTTCGAGATGAGAATTTGAACCACGCGTTCCCCCCCTCCCCACACTTCAATAGTGCCCGCGCAGGGAGAATATCGACTGACGAGCCGGACTCTCCTCCAGGAGGGGAATGCCTGCGAACAAATAATTTGAAATGTTTAAAAAAAAGGAAAAAAAAAGGAAAGAAAAGAAAAAGAAAACAGAAAAAATAAAAAGAAGAGAGAGGAAAAAGGAAAACACATTCTATTCTATCTTCTATCTAATCGATAAAATAAATTAGCTTTTACAAGTAATCTAGATCATCCTGGCAGGTAAGAATCGATGTCGAGGACACGCGAGGATATCGATGTACATGTTACCATTAGAATAAGAACAACATTGTGTTATATAGAACAACTAGGTATTACATAAAATTAACTATTATTACTTTTAGGTAGAGATAATATTATTCTAATAAAAATCATGCATAGGTACTCAGTTCTATACACATAATATCTAGGTATTTCTTATATTAATAATTTTAAGATAGAATAAATAAAAAAAATATTTAAATTTACGAGCTAACTAAAATATTATCTAAATTGTTTTCTTTCTCTCTCTCTCTCTCTCTCCCTCTCTCTCTCTCTCTCTATATATATATATATATAGAATACCTAGTCATTCTCTAGAATATAAAACGGTAACATATACGTTGTGTGCGCGAAAAAAAAACCTTACGTGACGGATCTCAGAGCGCCATGACGGAATCTCCTCCGCCAGCATCCCCTACGTTGCCCGAGGCGCTCTTCTCTATCGACGCTAGAGCACCTGGTGAACCTTTGAATCTCATCCTCGCGTCGTCTCCTACCACCACCGTGCGCTGACAAAAGATCAGCGTGAGACAGCTGACGATGAAGAGTATGCTCGGTAGTATAAAAGCGATCAAGAATTCTTTATAAGTCGTGTCGAGATTAAAACGTGACACGACGATACCAGTATTACCATCTGCATAATAACAAGGAAATCTAGCTCTAGCGTTGTGATCGGAACCATCTTTTCCATATTCGTGAAGGAAATCTTTACACTCATCACGAAGAGTGTTAACACATCCTTCGAGATTGATAAGCAAACGACTCTCGTTAGCTATTATGAGATCTTGTTCGGGTGGAGCCACCATTCTTGTCTCATCCAAGGGTTTTGTCGCAAATATATTTAAATAGGAGAGATAAGTGAAATTGGTTAGATCAGTAAGAAGATCCTTTTCTAATACAGATCCGTTAATACAATCGACAGCCTCAACACCAAGGGTTGAATTAAATATACCATAACACGAGGCCATCATAACGTCGCCTCGATCCTCGTGCCATATCTCTCGATTGGTCTCCACGTCTATAGCTCTTTCACATTGACTGAGATAAACCTTGTCCCCACTAAGAAGTATCATGTTCTTATTTCTAGTTGGTATGTCGACGCAACGTCGGTCGCAATTATAAGGCGTTCTTATACGTTCGCAAGTACCGCGATTGCAATTAAAAAGACCATCTATATCGATACAAGTTATTTTGCCACGTCTACCGGAACACTTTAACGGCGGATCGGTATCATGAAACATACACTCGAACGCGTCGGTTATGTTTATACACGTCCCTGCTGAACAATTAAACGTACCGGTGAGATTTCGACACTCATCTGCTATACACTTGGACTTTTTCGCGTTTTCCTGATCTATACCGTAACAAGTCTTGTTCGTTGTGTTCGTACAATTGGCGAGAAGTATTGTCGAACCGTTTCGTCGAAGATTTACATGGATTTGTACGCAAGGACCGGATGTTTTCGATAGACACCACTCGCCGCAGCTTCCCCACTCGCAGTTGTCAGCATTGACGGCTCGAATTGTCGTACACATTGCCGGGACCTCGCTGATACCCGATTGAAATGCTCGCGTACTCGGCATGTATATCGCCACAGTTAGATAGACCAATGCGACCGACGATAAAACCGCAGTCATCTGACATATACAGATAGTACCGCAGATCCTACCGTCCTGCGGTGGTATCACTAAGTTCTCCACCGGCACTTGCTTCGGCATCGTGCCGGCTTTCTCCTGAATTTCAACGATATTTCGATGATCCTTCGGTCCCCGATCTACTTCGATGGCTTACATGCTAATCTCAAATGATCTTTGAGTTCTACATTCTAATACCGTCGATTAAAAATTTTATAATCGAGCAGCACCAAACGACGTTTCTTCTTTGTTTCTTCTTATTTATTCCTTGAATTCTTTCAAATCTTCGGTAAGTTTGTTTTCTTTCTTTTTTTTCTTTTCTTTTCTTTTCTACTTTCTTTCGAACGATCTTCTCGAACAATTCGAAATATTTCTCTCTGTTCAGCGATCGGCTAAATCATCGAGGTAAACTCTTTTCTTTTCACCTCAACGTCTCTCTTCTATCATTTCTCGTTACTTTTTGCCCGACACAATATCGTTCCTCCCTTTAGGAAGAGTCCACCCGCGCGCTTATGTCTCCGTTTTCGGCTGGTTTGCGTGACGTGCGCGCTGGAAAACGAAAGAATCGATCGTAGGGTTGCGCATGCGTTTCGTCGACCTGCATCGGCGTTTTCTCAGTTACCGCAGTTGACGTCACTGCTCTCTCTCTCTCTCTCTCTCTCTCTCTCTATATATATATATATATATAGATAGATATATATATATATAGATATATATATATATATATATATATATATATATATATATCTGTTTCTGCATCTCTCTCTTTCTTTTTCTATGATAAGTGACGTGTCCTGTCGAGGCCACAGCATATGCAGGAGTACGTTCAAAGATGGCGCCAATTTTAACGAGAATCCTTCGATAATTTCGAGGATATTCGAATCGTCTTGGCCAACATTTCCTATTTTTCTTTCTTTTTTCTTTTTTTATTTTATTTTCTTTTTTCTTTTTCTTCTAAGAATAAAATCCTTCGAAAGAGTTCAATCGATTTAATCCAGATTAAGTTATCGCTTATTGTTATAACTTTGTTCGCCGTAAATCTTTCATTACTTATGATAGAAACTTTGGTTGACTTTTTTATTTTTTTGCTTTCTTTCTTCGAATCTCCTTTTCTGTATGTGCAGCAAAGTTGTGACACAGTTTCTTTAGCGATGTCGTTCTCAACGGCGGCTAACATAATATGAGACGGGCACGGTATAAAGAGAGAGAAAGAGAGAGTGAGTGAGAGAGACAGAAGGAAGAAAAAGGGTAAAAAAATAAAAAGCTCGACGCGTTAGCACGTAATCTAGTTTATCGAGCGGCAGGCTCAGACAGTGTGGCGCCTTTGCTTTATTTAATTCTCTCTCTCTCTCTCTCTCTCTCTCTCTCTCTATCTACCTATCTCTCTCTCTCTCCTCTCTTTCTTTCTCTATCTCTCTCTATTTCTCTTTATCTCTTTCTCTTTCTCTCTTCGATGTGTACCGCGTGTCTCCGCTAGCGTTTATAATTATAGTACGTGCAGTTTTTTGCATTCGTTTACATCTATTTGCATTCTTTTTCTTAATACTACTCGAAAAGAACTCTCATTGAACGTTTCGTTCTTCTCTCGATCGTAAAATTTTGGAAAATTTTTGAATCGAAGTTATTTATTGCGATATTATAAATAAAATCGTAAAAGGTTGTTCGATAAGAAAAAAAAGAAAAGATTGATCAAGGTTCGTAGGGAAAATTTTCGTTTTTTTCTGTTTGTTATTCTCATCTTTTTTCTCCTTTTCTATGATATTTTTGCAACGGTCCAGGAAGAAATCGTAAATACAGCGGCAGATATACTTATTCCATAAAGGTCTTTACGCTGAATAATTTAGAGTCAGGTGATCGATTCGCAGGTGAGAGAGAGAGAGAGAGAGAGAGAGAGAGTGGAAGGTGAGTTCGTACTTACCTACGCGAGTGTTCCTATTCCGAGCGACCTCGTTTGAAATTCGTTGAAAATGCATGACCGAAAGAAAGAGATAAAGAAAAAAAGGAAGAGAAAGTGGGAGAGAGAGAAAGAGAGAGAGAGAGAAAGAGAAAGAGAGAAAGAATATTTTTTTACGTCCACAATCTTCTTAAACTCATAAAAATGAAAAATTATTCCACGGCAAATCTTTTTCATAAATATGAAAATGTGTGTGTCCGAATTGCATCCTTCTTTTTTAAATATTATACAAATTAACAAATGCATGAATAGAGATGGTATGACAAAGATTATCTAAACATTCGTATACTCGTAGAGATGTTAAAACATTTATATTTTCTTTTGATTAATACACATACACACACATGTATATAATAAACACGATATAGTTTGTCTCTCGGATAACTATATTTCAACATGTACTACTTGGCTGACTATCGTCAGGCGGCATCTACTGTTTGGTATTCGAAGCTGATATCAATAAGTATTAAACGAGCGAACGTATGTACACACATACGTACATATGTCTATTCTTTATCGAGTAAACTATATCTAGTAATTAACTCGTTAATACCGAGAAGTTTATATAACGAAAGTCAACTCAACACGAGGTAAACGAAGTAAGCTTATCTTAATCGACGATCTTCGCGGGAAGCCGGTCACAAGTCGAAGATTCTCAATCGACATTCTCACGTTCTCGTTGTCGCCATCGTCCTCGTCCTCGTCCTCGTCCTCGTCCTCGTCCTCGTCCTCGCATTAGTCCTCGTATTTTTCTTTTTTAACATGAATCGTAAAAAGCACGCGAATGATTCCGTGACGTTTTTGTGCTCCACGTGCTTCGTTAAAAATAGACTCCAAGTCGTACGATCGATCGAGCAACGATCCACTACTTTTTCTTCTTTTTTCTTTTTGTTTTTCTTTTTTCTCACATTTCATTCTCAGAAACTATATCGCGTCAATGCAGATTTCACGCTCAAAGGAATTTTTTAAATTATTAATTTAAAATACATTCCACTCGACGGTCTTGGATTTGTATAGACATGAAAAGGACTGGCCGAATCGATGCAGAAAATCGCACAATTAACATGGGAAATCATTGCGACAGGCAAACATTTAGTCAAAAATGTATTTTCCTTTTTTGTCTTTATCACTCACAATGTGTTACACTCCGGAAATAATGTTCACGTAATTATTTTGTCAATAAGTAGAAAAAGAAGAGGAAGAACAAAAAAATAAGAAAGAAAGAAAAAAAAAGAAAAGGAAAAAGGGATAAACGGGAATCACCTATCAAACAAACTTTTTACATTGTTTATAACGAATCAGACACTGTCCTGTTGTTCGAAAGTCAAGCGTCAGCTGCCGTCTAATAATCTTTGCGATATTGTACCGCGAACCAAACCGATCTTTCTAATCTTTCCTCAACGTTATGACACATTCAAAAATATAGTAATATAGAAAAAACGATGAACGTTCAACGTGATATGTGTTAATAATGTGATAAAACAATATACTCACGTAGATGACTCCTTTTCGTGGAAACGACGAAGAAGGCCCCTTTGGAAAATTCACTTTCCGCAGTCACGATACTCTGGCCTGGGGGAAACAAATATGGCGGTACGCGCACTGGAGCTGCGATGGCTCCACCTCGTTGTTGCCGTATTGTACCAAAAAATCAATACCCTCCGATTGAGTTCCTACCAACGCTACGAATACAACGATAGACGACAACGACGACGACTACAACGACAATGACGATGACGACGACAACGAGTACGGTGACGTTGACGATGTTTCTTGTTGAATGCATTACGGGGTGAGACTAACATTGATACAACAAAATAGCTCTCTTTCTCTCCCTCTCTCTTTCTCCCGTAAATTAGCGCGGGCGCAACCACTTTTCTACGAAGTCTTATCAACGAGAGAATGACTAATACTTTTTTGAAACGGACATCACCTCGTTCTTAACATTCCTTTCTCTTCTCTTGTCAAACCCCTCTTTCTCTTTTTTCTCCTTCTTCCAAAAAAATAGGGATCGTTTTCTGTGTGAAATGGAAATCGGAAAATCAATTTTTTCCCGATTGAAAAGCGTAAGAGAGTACTCGGTTGTTATTGTCTCTTATTGCTAATGTCTCGGGATACACTTTTGTCGTCTCGAATTTGCATGGGCCCCGCGGCATAACTCTGATGTTTCTTTTTTTCCCTTTTTCTTTCTTTCCTCTTTTCTTTTTTTCTTCTTTGTCTTTTACAGAGAGAAAGAGCACGCTCCTTTTTACTCTTGGAAAAGAAGAAGAGTCGAGCGGAGGAGTATCAGAGTGTAAAATCGACCGCTTGATCGAGCATTGTCTTTTTTATTATCGTTTCGCTGCCACTTCAGTCAACTTATCTCTCTGTAATAGTTCTTTCTTTTTTTTTTTCTTTCTTTTATTCATTCTTTCTTTCTTTTTTTATTTTTTTTTCGTTTTTTTTGGTTCTTCTTTTTTGTTCGTTTTTTATTCCACTTGTAATAACGATCGAATACGAATGAAAATTTGTATTATGACTTTAGTTGTTTCCTTTCAAGTATATTAGACATCAAGTAAAGGCTAACCCTCTGGATATTGTTAGAAAATTAATAAGAATGAGAGCGGCGATGGGTTAAATGCAATCGGAAAAAGAAAGAAAGATATAGAGAGAGGGAGAGAGAGAAAGAAAGAGAAAGAGAAAGAAAAAGAGAGATAACTTATTAAAGTTTTAGGTTTGCCCGAGGAAACGATACGTCTATAGGGACATTGTGAGCATGTATATTCCTCGCTATAAATAGCTAACAGTTTCCAATATTGTCAATAAGGCGATCCATTCGTTGCAACTTCCTCGTCCCACTCTCCAATCCCAAGCGTTTCAATCTCTTCGTACAAAAATGCATCAAAAAGCATCTCTCTTTCTTTCTTTCTCGCTTTCCGATCAAGGATAAATCATGTTATTTTTTCTTCCTTTCTTCCTTCCCTTTTTTCTTTTCTTTCTTTCTTTTTTCTTTATTTCTCAGATTATTCCTGACGACCTTCAGTTATCAGACGAAAATATGTTCGCTCAAATCTGGCACGTTTTTCTGCAATAGAATTTATTATTTAATCGTACTAATTTTATCTTACCCAATTCAGTGAAAACTACGTAAATTAATTAGTTCATTGTTTCGCCTTGGAGTCATTTTGATCTTTATGCATTTGGAGGAATGCATTCAGAGATAATCCAGGCTTGCGTCCGTAAACAACGGAGGTATCATGAGTTTGCGAAAGTCAAAGAGAGTCTCGAATAGAACGCGTTATTTCGAAGTTGAAACGAGAATGGCAGTAGTTATAGCGGGCACATTAAACTCGTTTCTGTTCTCTGAAAACGAATGATATGAACGTTACGTGAATATTAGAAATTTTCTAATCGATCGGTTCAACGATTTGAAAAAAATTGAAAAATTTTCATTAACATATTAAAAATGATTAAATTTATGTATAAATTCAAGGAAATGATAACGATAGCGTAGTTGGTACAACATGCGAGTAATTTTGCTCGATTATTCTCGGAATAATTAAAGTTGAAATTCAGCCTTGTCATTTGCACGCGACGCGTTTGTTGAAGAGAGAGAGAGAGAGAGAGAGAGAGAGAGAAAGAGAGAGAGAGAAAGAGAGGGAAGGAGAAAGAGAGAGAGAAAGAGATAAACATAGAATAAGCTAAAGGATCATCGATAAATTCAATGAGGAACCTCGACAAGAAAGGAAAACATTTGGCCCATATTTCAGTTCATTGGCTCCGAGCCAATTTCACTCTGGTGTCGGCTGATCAGGGGACAACCTCTTTCCAAAACGAAAACCGAATGATTTTCTAAGGTCAGCCCTGTCCCAGGGCATTGTAACTATTTTCGTCGTGGTAGTCTATCGCGACGTAAAGCGATCCCTCAATGCTTTTTGCCCTTTGATTTTACCTAACGCCTTAACCCTCGTTTGTCTTAAAAATATGACTCGAAAGTGGGCAACAACTCGAATCACTGTTAATGGCGAAAGAAATACTTGTTTCTTTGCAAAAAATTTCTTTTATCGTTGCTAGTAGTAACTATTCGATTTCATTATCGAAAGCTTTCCGAAGATAGAGGAGTGCTTTTTAAAGAAATTAATCGGATGTATAGGTACTTACTTGGTTATTGATTTGCTAACCTTCTCTCGACTTGTTTACGATCCCATTATCCATATCTATTTCTTTTTCCTTTGTGAAGAGCTCTCGATGATGAAATTCGAGGAATAAGTTTTCGATACTGGGATACCCTATTACAGTAGTATTACTAGCAGTAGTAGAAGCAAGCGTATAGTTGGACAAGTACATGAAGAAATTTCAAAAGCTTTCTATTCAACGTAAAACACGAAATCTTTTCTGGAAATTGTTGATAACCTTGATTGAATATTACTTTCATCCGTTTGAAAACATCGAAATATGCCAAAGAAGATGCCGAAGAATATCGATTAATATCGTACGAATATACACATATATACATACATACATTATATAAAAATACATATATGTATAAGTATAGATATATGTACGTATATAACTCGTTACTTTTGATAATATTGTCATAATATTTTTCAATGCGAACGTTACGAAATCGATCGATATACTTTTTCATTTCTTACTGAAAATTGAAAAATATATAAAAAAAACTCGATCTGCGTTGAGTTTGTAAAACTTTATTAAATACTGCAAAGCTTACGGCAAGAGACACCAATGTCGTAGACATTTTTTTCGTCAGCTCATTGCCGAGGAAAGGGATTGAGGAAAAGGAAGAGAAGGAGGAGGATGAAGAAGTGGATGAGGAGGAGATGAATGAGGAGGAGGTGAATAAGGAGGATGGTCCGAATACCCAAGGGGTAACACGATGCTTCATAATAACGACCACTTCTCTTTTTCCCTTTTCGCAATTCTTACAAAATAATCGATTCGTATAAGACGAATTTTTTTGTTTAAACAATCTTTGAGAGTGGAAAAAAAAGAAAAACCACAACGAATTTCTTTCTATCGTTTTTCTCTATTCTCTAACGTTTTCAACATTTTCTTTCTATCTTCTTTTATACCGATTCTTCCGTTTCAACTTGTTTGTCTTAATAACATTTTCTTTTAAATAACCCGTATTAATGATTTAAAGTTTCACAATGCAAAAAGAGAAAGCTCTTATTTCTCTATAAAGCATCAACGTATCGTAATAACATCGTGTATCGGGTTGTTCACGCGTCAACGTTATCAATGATCGATCATAGATGTTTTTAAATGTCCGGTGTTAACCTATTAGCGCTTGAATCATCGTAAATATCTATATAAAATAACAAGATTAAATGTTACCGTTCGAAAAAGTTCTTCGTCTTTTTCTTTTTTAATAATTTATCTTTAGATTCGAGAAGTAAATAAGCAATGTAGCTTTGCGAAACATCTAAAACATCCTTAAGAACGTTTATCAGGAAACGAACGAAAGTGTTTTTTGCAGGAGATATTTCGTTTTAGAGCAACGATCTCGGTATTCTCGAAAATTAGTTAAATGTACTTGATTTTGAATTCATCAATGGTAGGGTAAAAATAAGGAAAGATCATGATAGAATGTTTTCGTTATTACGTTGCGCCAACAGTAACTCGTTCTATAGATCTATTTTAATCGATCTTTCGATGCCCTATTGTTTGACTTGAAGAGAAAAAGAGAAAGAGAGAGAGAGAAAGAGAGAGAAAGGCTTTAGCGACTACCCACTTCATATTCGAGTGTTAACGAAAGCAGAGAACACTTGGTCGTACGTTGAAAGCACTGTATCTTTCGATCGATTGACAAAAGCTCACTAAAAGCTCGCGAGAAAACACGTGTTAAGTTCTCTCGTCTTAACAAAACAACTACTTACTCACTCACTTGAACGATCTTCAGTAGGGAAATATCGGCATTACATTTCTTACGTTTTTATTTATTTTCTTTTTTTTAACTCCTCATATATCTCGCGTTAAGTTAGAAATCTTAAGATTACATCTTTTTTTCTTCTTTTCGATATCTCTAGTCTCAGTGTAAATTCTTCGAGGGACACGCGATGGAGGCGATATCACCAATGACGTATCGATTTATCAGCTTCACGGAAGAAATTAGGAATGAGAGGAAGAATAAAGAAAAGGGAGGAAACGAAGGAGAAAACAGTCTTCGAAGCAGAGGCTCTCAGAGCTTTATAATCGAGTTTGATGATCGCGAAATGAGAGCTTTATCCTCTTTTCCTCCTCCCCCTCCCGCCCTTTTTCTCTCTTTCCTCCTTTCCTGCTTATCCCTCTTACTCCTCGTTCATATTTCGTTCTACTTTTAACCCAGAGTCACGTATCGCTACCATAATGGAAAGCGTGCTTAACATCGAACTAGACTTCTACTTCAATGTTTGTCCTTTTTAATGGCATTTGCACTATCTTTAACATGTTTTCATCGTTGACTGATTCATTGATTGATAAGACCCAATGCAGGAAACTGCATCAAAGGTGAATGAGAATATTCATTGAGATACGAAAGAGACAAGCGCGAAATAACCGACAATTGCGTTTTCGTATGATCCGTGGAATTAAAAAATATTTGTGCGTTATTAATTTTAGAATAATTTAATTTTCATTAATCTTCAAGTTCCTTAAGATATCTTTTAACATTCACGTTAACAGTTGTTATTATTAATTATTTTAATGACACTTGTGCGCATGCAAAGGAATTCATTATAGTCACATTATATATATTTTACATATCAATTTATTTCTCTCTGTTTCTCTCTCTTTCTCTTCGTATTTAATAGATTTCCAATATTACATATAATACATATCATTGAATATACACATTTGTTCCTTATGAATTCGTTCGATATTTTCTGAGCGATTTGAAAAGGATTCAAGAACGTACATCGTCGTAGAGAAATGAAGATAAAAAAAATGAAAAAGAAAGACAAAAAGAGAGAAAGGGAGAAAGCTACAATCGATTTAAACGAATAGAGGAAATCGTATCTCGAACCGATCGATAAAACGTTCTCGCTCTCATAAATCAAATTGTCATTGAAATCCTTTGGCGACTTTCCAAGAATGACCATTGGAGTTTATCACTTGGTATTTTTATACATTTCGAATTCTAGACGATATATTGAGATCGATTGTGATTGGAGAAAAATTCTTCTTTCTTTGAGAGGGAGAGAGAAAAGAGAGAGAGAGAGAGAGAGAGAGAGAGAGAGAGAGAGAGAGAGAGAGAGAGAGAGAGACGTATGCGCGAATCAACATATTCGATAAAAAGGAAAACGAATTTATTTAGTGTCGAAATAAAAGAGGGAGTGTTTTCGTGTAAATGTTCTTCTGAATGAATTTTTAATAATCGATTTATTTAAAAAAAGAGCCGATGGAGGAAGAGGAAAAAGAGGAAGTGTCGTTACGACATCGGGGTAGGTAAAGAAGAAAGAAAGAAAGAAAGAGAAAAAGAAAATAAAAGGGAATGGAAAGGAGAAACGTAAGAGAAAAAAAAGAGGAGCTAGGAAGAAGCAGCTTACACGCGGGTGTTTCTGAGGTGGGAGCTTTCTGGTAATGGTGATGATGCTGGTGTTGGTGGTGCTGGTGCTGGCACTGGTACTAGTACTGATGGTGGTGGTAGTGGCGGCGGTCGATGCCACCAGATGCCGTCGTGGCGCCAGTGTCGGCAGAAAATAAGCTCGCCCAAAGATACCCTCGACTGCAGTAGCCCGGCATCCGTCGGCGCTGCGGCCAGGGTTTCGGAAAAATATAAGAGCGGTGTGCTTTTATTACGTCCGTTCATTCGCGAACTCGCGAGACGATTGCGTCGGTACGAGATCAGATCCGTCGATCTCTTATTTTATCAAACGACGAATATCACTTTTGAGAAAAATAAATAAGTATATATATATATATATATATATATATATATATATATACATATATATATACATATATATATATACATATATATATATATACATATATATACATACATACATATATATATATATAGAGAGAGAGAGAGAGAGAAAGAAAAAGGAAGGATAGAGATATATAAGTGGAAAGGTGAGACCACGAAAAAGGATAGAAGATAAAGGAAGTCCGTTTGACATGAGGATTGTCTCGAAGAAGTAACCCTCTTGTTAATTAATCAAATGGTTAATTAATCAAAGTGAGACATAGACGGACAAATGCTCACCGTGAATAGTAGTATCGCGTAGTGAAGAGAGGAGAAGCCAGGTGGACGAGGGGAAGAAGGTTGGACGCGCGAGAGCAGCCCAGAAGGGAGAAAGAGAGAAGGAGAGAGAAAGAGAAGGAAAGAGAAAGAAAAAGAGAGAGACAGAGAGAACACAGGATGCGGGGGCACAGGAAGAGGGCGCCAAGCCCCGTCGATTTCTCTTCTTCTTCTTCTTCATAGGGGGTACCGTTTCCTGCAAAAAATAAGAAAAAAATAAAAAAAGAACAAGAAAACAAGAAAAAAAAGAAAAGAAATAAATTAAAAGAAGAAAGGAATAGCTCTCGAGCTTTTACCTTCTACTTTCGACCTACGTCGACACACGTCGTCTCATCTCGTTTCGTTTCTTAACGTATCATTTCGCGTCTCGTTGTCCTGAGTAAAACGAATATTTTTCTTTGTTCGAACTTTACGATACCCGCTAATTCGAATCCTTTGAAATAAATAGATATTTTTAAAAACGATTAGAAATCTTCGATTCTTTTTCGTTTACGATGCAACGCATATTTTCTTTCCTTTTCGAGTTTATTACATTTTATCGACCTGTGTTATCAAAATGTAAGTTCACTTTAATACGAGTTTCCTTTCGTATGTTTTAGAAAGAAATCGTTTTCTAGCTCATCGATTTTTACCTTTTTACCTTTTTAAATAATTTAAGTTGTGGTGGCAATGTCGAGCAAGTAACGTATCAACTCGTTATTTTCATTGCGTTTTGATATTAAATTAGAAACGTTTTGGTCGTTACGTAAATGTCAGGTATATGTATGTATACATATATATATATATATGTATACATATATAAATATATACATATATATATAAGGTATATGTATGTATATATATTTGTACATACATAACGATGTAGTGAAAGCGTGCTCTGCGTGCTCCACTTTCGAGTCGGCCGAACGCGTTGACACGCTCGATCGAGCGTAATGAATTAGTTGTGGTTTTACATACCTCCAAATCCGCGGGACCAATCCATTTCTTCGTTAGAAGGCAACGGAATAAAAAGAAATAAAAAGTAACGAGGATCCGAGGAAATACTTGACCCCGAAAATGAAACGATAAACGATGAGCTTAATACGCCAATCAAGGAAATCTTGAATATTTCCTTGCCGCGTTGGCCGTATAATCTGTTCAAATGTAATACTGATTTTCTTTTAAAAATATCTAATCAATGTAAGTCCCGTTGCTAATCGATCTACGTCATTTAACTTGTCGAAAGCTCGAAGGAACATTGAAAAACACAAGACCAAGACGATCCTATAAAATCATTTTTGTTTTAAGTGTCCCTTTTTATTTCTTTTCTTTTCTTTTTTTTTTTGTTTTTCCAAAAGCGAAAGAGCACAAGATTTCTTTCAGTAGCGAAGAAAGAATTTGAAATATGAGGCAGTAAAGTAGAGACCTTAAAGGCGATCTGTAAACTCGAGCTATATAGAGAACTCGCAGAACATCGCTTTATTAGATATTGCATATCTCTCTCTATTTCCATCTATAGATTATTTACCAAATATCGATATTCACTCGTTTATACATATCTACATATATATACATATATATATATATATATATATATATATATATATATATATACATATATAGGAAAAAAGGAACGATAAAAGGTTCAATGATATCATAAGATTCGATCATTGGAATATAACGTATATCTCGATACAAAGAAATACATTTAATCGATCAAATTAATCAATCGATCTCGATGCACAACTCATTGACTAAATTCTTGTCGTCAATGTCGAAAACATAAAAAAAATAAATAAAATAACAAAATAAAAATAAAAAAATTATTAGAAAAAGAAAACAAAAAGAAAATATAAAATAAAATAAAAGAAAAACGTATCCCTCTTGGCAGAAAGGTCGAAAGTACGATAGAATATCAATTCGAGAAATTTTGGAGATAAAGGAGCGTCTCATTTATTTATATACATATAGATATATATATATATATATATATATATATACGTTTCAAAAAAAATTAAAAAAAGAAAAAAAAGAAGGAATAAGAAAGAAAACAATCCCGTCCAAACGCAGATCTTCTGCTTCGCCTCTTCGACGTCTTGTGTAACGGCGGAGCTGAATACAACGAGTCGAGGACGACAAGGAAGAGAAGGAATCTCCTTACTGAAACGAGCACTGCCGTTTGTTCTCCGACATGGCGGACGAAAAGGAGAAGCAGACGTTCCTGCAGAAATTGCTGTTCTACACGACCGCGTTCTTCATCCTCCTCAGCACCTTCAGCCTCTTCGCCTTCCTCTTCTTGGTCCCCTTCGTCATCGACCCCGCCTTCACTACTATCTTCATGCAGTTCGACACTCGGCCCGCCGAGTGTGTCACCATCGACGTTGAGTCCAGGAGAGGTGAAACATTCGATCTTCTTCCCTCTCTTTCTCTCCTACCCCCTCTCTCTCTTTCTTTTTTTCTCTGTATCATTGATTCGCATTTTTCTTTCTTACCTTTCAAAATCGAGTTAGCTGTCCCCTTGTATCGTTCGTTCTGTCGTTGTTTTTCTATTTCGTTGCATGTATTTCGGAGTTTCTGTGTTTCTTTGAGGAGAACATAAATATATATATACGAAGGACTTTGTTCTATGAATAAATCATTTGTAACGGATCTTTAAAGTTCTTGAATAATTTCTCTCGTATTTCACGTATTGATGAGAAAAATTTCTTTGTCCAAAAAAAAAAAAATAGATAAAAGCTTTTGTGACGAGCTTGATTGACAAAGAAGTCATCGATAATAAATGTAAATAAGAGATTTTTATTATACTTTTAAAAAATATGATATCAGTACGTTTAACTTCAAACACTGTTTTCAAAGAAACAATATGAATAGTATATAAAATTAAGTCAAATAAATATTCTCAAAGTATTTCATTTTATCACAGTTTGTCGAGTTAACTATAAGAATTATTTCAAGTACATTCTATTACATAGGTTATTATATGTACTTGCTATCAGTTAATCGCTTTTTTATGTGAAGCTGAGCAAACTTGATACATATGTTCCAATATTGATGACAGTAATATATTAAAAGGCACATGATATTAAATAATTAAACATCAATAGATTACAACGTTTTGTTTTTAATTTCGTTTTTAATGAACAAAGTCCTTCGTAAATATTGATTCGTTTGATGTAATATTAATCGTTCGTATTAAACATCGAGTGTTTTGTTCCGTCCTATAAAGGCAAAAGCGTGATTACACGTTTTACATATATCAAATCATGTAATTATTTCGTATATTATAGAAACGTTGCTTTTTAGATAAATAGAAAAATCTTTGTCGTTAGAAATGGTTGTACGAAGGGGTTCACTTATTATTGTATCCGATTCGTTTACCAACGTTAATGATCGTCTTCTTATTGGAAAAATTTCTGTTCGATTTTATTGAGGCACGTCTGGACCGAACAAAGGATCAACAATGAATTTTTTAATAAAAAAAATTTTTTTTGAAAAAAATCGAACAGAAAATGTTCGAAGGAATTTCTTTCCAAATAAACGTTTTATAAAAACGTTTGACTCGACTCTCAATCTAGTCGTGCCTTTACATTTTCCAAGCATCTTCGTTCTTCTCGTAAATACACGAGATTGAATTAATAGAACACGAACACGTGTGCATGCGATAGCTTCAAATAATCCACGATTCGTCGTTTTCTTTGTATTTGTCAGTGCATGTGCGTGTGTGTGTGTGTATAATATAATTATATATATACATCTGTATATAATATATGGAGATATGTATATTTATTTATGTATGTATGTATGTCTCGTGCAATTCTCTGAGTTACTTCCGGAATGCATGAAAAGTCCCTATCTCTTTATCTTCCTCTCTCTCTCTCTTTATGTATATATATATATATATATATATATATATATATATGTATGTATATATGTATGTACATATGTATGTATATAGATATATAGATATATCTCTCTCCTTTCTTCGTTGAATTTTCGTTTGAAAAAAGTTTAATGAACGAACGAACTCGTACCACACGAACGATTTTCTTTGCTATCAGGGTTCTCCGCCATTTGTGCCGATCTTGTTATCACGGATCAAAGAATCTACCGCCATCATTATAACCATAGAAACGTTTTATAATGATAGAATGAAACCTCAACATTTTTTTTTTTTGATGGAACATTTTCAACGTTTTTTTCTTATTTTTCCTTTTTTTTAAGCATTAATAAGACCGACATCGATAGAATTAATGATTTGGAATAAAAAAGATAAATAAAAAGAAAGAGAGAAAGACAGAAAGAGAGAAAGAGAGAGAGAGAGAGAGAGAGAGAAAAGAGAGAAAGGGAAAGAAAGAAAAAATCTTTAAATGATAGGAATTAAGATCGACGCAACTGGTTTTGAATTCTTTTTATTCATGATATCTAAGCTGGTCTCGAATGATCCATATATTTATTCATGCCCCGCAGTACTTTTTCGCTGTTTTGTTAACTCTCATTCTAATACACTTGACTTCACTCTCGAATGTCATCGTATATAGAGAAGGGGGCTAGGTGAGAGTGGATGGTTATAGTACAATCGAGTACTCGACTTTTTTGCTACTCGATGTCTAGACACCTCGACGTATATGTTAGGTACATTCGGAGAACGTCGATAAGCAACTTAAGATCTCGGGATCTCATTAAAGTGAATGATCCTTTGATATTAGAGTGTATGATCGGTACATGATCATGTCAGTTCTTATTGTCTTTCATTATTTGCTCATTCTAGTGATTTTTTTTCGACAGAATTCTCAATTAAACGTAGTTATTCGTATTCCTCCCATTGTTTTCTTATTCGAATAAAATGATCAAGCTGATCCTTTCAAAAGAAATTCTTTAACGAATAGATCGTAAGAAGATTTTTTATATAGTCAGGGATAATTCGCATCTAAATGACGAAAATCTCGTTTGTGTGCACGTTTCTTATATATTTCTTAAATCTTATTATCTACATACGTACGTAATGTCTTCGTTATTATCCTCGAGGTCACACGATGCTTCATCGTTCAATCTCTCTATTATTCGTCAAAATTATTATTAGGTATTTGAGAATAGATATCGATCGTTTCCGAATCGTCAATCATTCCTCCGATCGTTTTTCGTCTCTCGATGTTATTTCGGCTAACTCGTTTGACTTAGTATCGAAGCTACGAGTGGCCTCGCGACGTTCTTATTCCATGAACGTACGTTGATCGTTGAGTTCAGGTACGAGCAACTGCTCATGGACATCATGTAGAGAGGGTTGCACCAAGGAGTTGTATGATTGCACGCAAATACGCGTCAACTACAAGCTACCGATTAATACATCCTCCGAGGATGAAGCTGGACCATTTGAGGGAGGCAGAGCGGTAGGAGGTGTCGAGGACGACGAAGACAGTACGAGGTTAAAAAAACCGCGTTATGAACGGGCTCCCAGAGACTATGATTACATCGAAGATCTCGACGATGAAGATTTCGCCGAGGACGACGATGCAGGACTGCCGAAACCCTTCCCTACAGGTACAAACCTGCACCCGGTGTCCTTCGTTAGTCTCAAATTCATCTCTTTCTCTTTCTCTCTCTCTCTCTTTCTCTTTCTCTTTCTCTCTCTTTCTCTCTCTGTCTCTTGAACAAACAAATCATCATTTGAAACTCACGAGAGAACGAAGGACAACCGTTAGAACACAACTCTTTTGGAAGCTCTTTACTTAACGTCTCTCAGCAGCCAAGTAAGATCGTTGCTCGGCGATAACGAAACGAAGTTCGCAGGTCTCATGGGCAACGACTCCGAGTGGTACTTCACTGGGGCCAAGCTGTTCCCGAACGTAAAAGGCTGTGGATACCCTCCAGTGCTGAATTGCAGTATTTTCTACCAGCAGTATGCCAACATAGGGCATAACTTTAGCTGTTACTACTCCAAAGTGGATCCCGGAATAGTCATCAGCGAACTCGACATGTGGCAGGTCTCTCCACGCTTTCGCATTCTCATTTAACGTTTGTGTCTTTTTTCTATATCTAAACCCTTTCTTCCATCCCCAGCCCTCCTCTACCTCCAATATCAACGCTTTCCCCTCTCTAATTTTTCTACACAAGTTTCCAATTTTATTCTCCTTCTTCTAGCCTATGCGTGTACGTACGGTTTATGTGATCCACGTGAAAGAAAATGAGGTCACTTTGTTTGTCGCACAGAAAACGATCGAACGCGACGACCTCGACAGGTTAGGTTATGTGATAACACACGTGAACGTATTGCCTACGTATTTCGATCCTTATCCTCTCCTTTGCCTCAGTTTTACCTCGAAAATTTTCTTCAGGAGTTATTATCGTCGAAGAAAAATCAACGGGATCAAAATCATACTACTGGTCGGTCGGTCGGTATGTAAGCTGATAGTCGGGATTATCGTTGACTCGTACTACTGCGATTTCAAAGAAAAACCTCTAGAAGCAAACAAGAACGAAATCCTTTATTAATACCTCGATAAATTCTATTACCACGAAAATGATATTCGACGAACAAAATTCGCAGAAAAAAAAAGAAACGAAAGAAAAAAGAAGGGAAAGAGAAAAAAAATATTGAATTGACTTTTCCAGTCGATTTAAATGTATCAAGCTAAATCTGTCGACCCATGCGACTTATCTTTTCTTATTTTAACTAACGCACGTACACAGACATTTTTACACAAATATACGTACGTATATTGCAATATACAGACTATAAGAGTTACACGTGGTGCAACTTTTGCAGGAGTTCAACATTGGAAGGAACGACGGCCTTTTGAGAATCGATATACTGCAGGTACCTATTCAGGTTTCCTATTCATGCTACTCGAAGTTATGCAGCTCGAAGTGTCTCATTCGACAGTTTCTCAAACGCTTACGGTCGTTCCTATTAACGTAGATTTACGTCGCCGCTAATTAGGACATGAAGAATCTTCCGTCGCAATCTCCCCTTATCCTCCCTCGTCAGTTTCTCTCTCTCTCTCTCTCTCCCCCTCTCCCTTAATAACCGCGTCTGAATTCGTCTTAAGTTCGTTCGTTCATCGTTAAGAGAAGAATGTAAAAGAGAAAAAGGGCAAAATTCTTTTCTACCTTCTAATTACTTTTTTCTACGTATCTTCTTTCATTTCACGAAACATTTAAATATCCTACTTCTCTTTTTCATTCAATATGAATTTATATAACAAAAGAGGAGACGAGATAATTTTTAGTTTAAGTTTCTTCTTCTTTTCCTTTTTCTTTTCTTTTTTTTTTTAAAGCACATCGAGCATTCAATAGATTGAAATTTGATATATTAATAATTGTATGAACATTAATTGCGATCTGTATATCCGCAAAGAAGAGGTGGGGGAAGAAAAGAAAAAAGAATAAAAAAGAGGAAAGAAAAAAATGAAAGATATTATCATTAAATTGTTATTTATATGTATCTCGGCAGTAGATAGAAAGTATAAGTATTAACTCTATTCTATTTCGTGACAACTCATGCCAGGGAAAACTGAAGAGCAAATGGAAAACGGAAAGAGAAATTATTCGACGGTGTTTCGTAGAAAAATATCTCTCAATCGTAAAAAGGGAAAAGTCTCAAGAGTACTCTGGTAAAAATGAAATTTCAGAGAGGAGAGTGAAAGAGTGAAAGAAAGAAAAAGAAGGAAGGAACGAAGAAAAAGAAAGAAGACAGAAATATAGGAACTTGTGTATCCGTATTATATGTATGCGTACATACATATATATATACATACATACATACATACATACATACATACATACATACATACATACATACATACATACATACATACATACATACATACATACATACATACATACATACACATGGATACATATATATATACATACATACATATATATACACATATATTTAAGTGTGTATACAATGTACAATCGGTCGTTGGACGCGGACAATTCGAGTCAGCGTTTATAAGCGAAGGCCTTCGAGGGGCGAAAAGCAGTCACGAAGGCATAGTGTTTGCGCACATCTCGCGAGAGAAAGCGATTTTCCTCGTACTCTTCTCGCGTATGTTGTAGGCGTATAAACGTTCGCGTGGGAGTGAGAGAGAGAGGGAGAAAGAGATGAAAGAGAAAGAGAGGGAAGACATAGTGGGATTCCGATTACTTCGACATAAAATGTAGCTACAGCTCTATGTAGTACAGTACGAATACAATGCATTCTCAAAGAAACGAATGGCCTGACTTTTGTCTGTCATGAAATAGGATGAGATGGATCGAAAAATAGAGAACGAGCTAAATTTTTACAAAATTTCGTATAAATTTTTTTAGTTTTGCTTTCTCGCTTAAGGAAAAATAAAATTGAGAATAAAGATATTATTGATAGGAAGGAATCGTGGAAATGCAATATATTATATATTTCGTTCGTGTAATGGTATGTACACGAAATATCTCCGACATTTCCATTCTTATCGTTTTCAATCTATGCAATGATTTCTCCCTTCCTTACAGCCTTCTATCGTCCGCGCAAACGTTTTCATATTTATTTTATCGACCTTTATCTTTGCGCCGATTTATCTATTTCGCGTCCATGAGAAGTAAAAAAGAAAAAAAAGAAACTAAAAAGATCCGGGAAGATATCGACGCAGTAGTACGAGCACGAAATAACTCCGACATCTCCATCTATACAAACGTTCGTTTTCGTTCCTTTTTCGTTTCATTTTCCTTTGATTTCGTTTCGTTCGCCTAACATATTTGTCGTATTTTATTTACGATGATCAATTATACATACCCCCGTTTCAGAGAAAAAATATATTGCGAAATATCGTAAAAAACAGCAAGTTTATTTCTTCTTCTTTTTTTTTTAATTACAACAATTAGTACAAGCATTTAGTACAAGCACAAAATAATTCCGACAATTCCATATATTCGTTTAAACGCTGTTTTCATTTTTCCTTTATTCATTAAAGTAATTGTCAAATAAGTATTCATTCATGTTAATCGTAAACTAAAAAAAAATGAAAGAAAAGAAAAAAAGAAACAGACTGAAGAAAATATAGAAAGAATCAAGCTGACAGTCGCTGCGCAAAATGCATTCTCCAGGTGTATATGAACCTGGTGTACGCAATGGCAATTCCGATACCGTCTTTCATAATCTCGGTGATATACCTCACCATCGCCTACTTCAAGATCTACAACGAAGACGAGGAGGCCCTTGTTGGCGGGGAGGAAGGAGAGGAGGGTGCCGAGGGCGATGGAAGCAACGGTACGCCTCTGCCGCCCACGAGCGGTGCCCTTACGCCTGGAAGCGAAGCTTTTAGGGAGGACTTGGCGAGTTTCGGTCATCAGCTCAAGGTCGCGATGGCTGATGACATCAGTAGGGAGAGTCTCGATGGCATACCTAACTCGCTCTCGGTTCAGGGGTAAGCCAAATAATACGAATTGTGTAATTTGAGAGAAATCGTCTCGACTTTTCTTTCTTTAAAAAGAAAAGAAGATAATTTATCTCTCTCTCTCTCTCTCTCTCTCTCTCTATATATATATATATATATATATATATATATATATATATATATTCTTTTTAGACATCGATATATAAAGGTCGTTTAAGGGTAAATCCGATTGCCGTTGGAGTTTATGGTTAATAATATTTTCTCGTGGCACACGTGTATGTTACGAAGCTTATTGTCCAATCGAGTGAAAATAAATGTCGATCATGCGACACTTGGCTGGCTTTTAACGTACTACTACTACTACTACTACTACTCCTGCTGTTCACCATTTACGGGAAGCATTTATACTCGCGTCATTTTCCGGTATACTTACGTTCGATGGGGCTTCTGCTCAATTTACCGACGAAACATGATAGATTTGTAAAGAGAATTGTCTCGACTTGAATCGCAACATAATCGCTTTAACAACTAACCACATTAAAACGAGAAAAACAGAGATAAATATATAGATAGGTAGATAGAAAGAGAAAGAGAGAGAGAGAAAAAGAGAGAGAGAGAGAGAGAGAGAGAGAGAGAGAGAGAGAGAGAGAGAGAGAGAGAGAGACAATGACAGTATGGTCAAGCTAAAGTCTTCATGTTTCTAATATTCTTTACAAGCTGACATTATTTAAGGCTTCACAAACGATTTTATTAATCCTTTCTACTCCTCAGTAATCTTTTCTTCTGAAGAAAACGTAAAGCTTACGATATACATAAATAAATAAATAAATAAATACACACATACATATATACATATATATTTACGGGTATATATTCACATTATATCTCGATTATGAATATATTTAAAAGCCTTCTGCGTGCATAATATATTTTCGTGAGTTAACTACTAAATAACGAGGTAAAATAAATCGAGCGAGAAAGTACAAGTGGTTCACGGTCAAGAAATTGACGAGGAGAATTTTACTCATGTATAAATATATAGCCGAAAAAGAGAGGAATTTTTTTCATAAGGTGTTACTAACTCAAACTAATGGTGAGGGAATAGATGTATCATAGAAAATCGCATAGTTCGCGATTTCCTTTCGAAAGCCACCATTCAATACCCGAAGCAAAAACGCGTATTGTCCGCAATTTCTATATGTGTATATACAGTGTATAAATATTATAGTAGCCACGTAACAATATCTCGCTTCCCCTCTCTTTCTCTCGCTTTCTTTCTCGCAGACCTCGTTTCAACATCGTACTCACCGATATATCGAACGTGATTACACGACCAATTTCACCGACGGCCTAAGCTCATCACGGCTAGGATATCCGATGGACTAAGTACGCAAACATCGCAGCCTGCGCTTCGAATTAGATTAGCCCTGTCCTCTTTCAGGACGAAATCGATGTTTTCGAGGCCTTGGGAAATAACTACGATCTTCCATCTTATTATCCTGAAACTCTTACTCCTTTAATCTCGACGATAAACTCGATCAACTTAGTCGTTTTAACTCGTAAAACGAAGTTTCTTCAACTTTTTAACCCTTTCCCGAGACATTCTTTCCTACATTTCCAACATCAGCTCGTCTGGAATTTATGAAATCCTAACGAAAAAGTTAGGAAATTACCAACGAAAGGACAATTTGATAAACGTACCAACGTTTATGCATAAAGTTTAAAAAAAAAAAAAGAAAGAAAGAAAGAAAAAAAAAAGTAAGGAGAAACAAGAAGACTTCTATAAAAACAAAGAAAAAAAAAAAAAAATAAAAAGAATTGATCATAATTTCACGAGTTCAACATATTTTTCGAAACGATTCAAATCTTCATTTGGAACGTTCTATTTGTGAAAGAAACGTGTGTCAAATGGAAGTATTTTTACAAAGAATAAAATTCTGAATATAAAAGCGAATATTGATAGTAAAAGTTAGTATTTTTGCAATATACGTAATGTTATTTTGCCATTTGAAAACTCTATACGCTAGATTACTGATTTATGTTAGGATATTAGCTGAACGTCGCCTGAAAATTTCCAGATGTTTCTATCGGTGTTGTACAGCCAACTTGGCAGCAGTTAACCGTCATAATATACACTATACCCCGGCGATGGCGTCTTGCAGTCTAGTTTCGTGCCAAGAGCTCGCGTTTCCATGTACAATGAATAAATACATACGTATATATGTATGTATGTATATATATGTGTATGTGTATGTTTATGTATACGTGTACGTGTGTATATGTATACATAAATAAAAAGGATACGTCTGGAATTAACGAACGACGGTTATCACGATATCTTCTTTTATTTATTCGAAAAATTTTTTAATTCGTTTACAAATCAAATCGCGGTTAGGAATTTAAATGAGAAAAGAAGAGAGAGAAAGAAAAAGAAAGAGAGAGAGAAAGAGACAGAGAGAGAGAGAGAGAAGAAAAGAAAATGGTTAGAAGCTTTTGAGCATCGTTATGTCGATTCCTTTTTATTTTTCAGTTTAACGATGCCGGCAATATCTGGGGTGAAAATTAATCGACATAATGACGTATCCTTTATCGTTAGAAATAACAATCCTCATACCCCATAGAAACTTAAAGCATATGTGTATGTGTATTTGTGTGCGGGCGCGTATGTGTATGTGTGTGTATGTATATCCTATGCACATACATACATATACATTTTATAAAGAAGTAAAACGGCGACGTGCTGTCTATCGTGAAACACTCCAATCGCGCGCACGCACACACACACGCACATACACACTATCGTTCCCTAGCCACGTTTTATCCCGATTCTGTATTCTATATACCGGGTGATTTTTGAGTACTTTTATATTTTTCCTCTGATTGAAAGGATTAATCGAAAGGAATAGATAATTTCGAGAACACCGAATTTGCTAAAATATATCATGTCAGTTTAATCAACGATTGTGTGTATAAAAAAAAGAGATACGAAAAAAAAGAAGAAAAACAAAGGGACAGAAAAAGATATTTTATTGGCTTATACACTTGACTCTATGCCAATGATTGCGGTGTTTTATCCGAATGGTTAATTTAGTAAGATCGAGTGAAGTAAATTATTTATTTATTTTATTTTCTTTTATTTTTTTTTTATTTTTTTATTTTTTTTCCAACGAGATCGAACCTATCGATCATTTGGTACATAAAGCCTTTGCTAGAATTTCCCGTCATAAAAAATACTCAAGCTAAACCTTCATGAACGACATCGAGGGGTAAAACTTTATACATTTTTAAAAGGTACTTCGATCGTCGTAGATGAGAAGAAAGGCCACCGTCGCGTCGATAATTTCGCGAGGAACGATTTAACGCATGAACACGGTATACTACTTTACTTGATGCTTATTTGTGAGGGACAACCGAAAAAGAGAACAAATACGTCCTATGAGCAGAGGTCAACTTGAATGCACGTGTTCTTCTTTTGTTCTGGAATTCTTCATCATATATTTATCTCTCTCTCTCTCTCGCTGCTTACTCTCTTTCTTTGTTCAATCTATCCTGGATACCCCAAGGAATAATCAATCCTTCTTTCTACGATATAAACAATTTTCACGCAGAAATTAATACCATTTCGTATGGATCTTCAAGATTCAACAACTCCACAAGAATTATCTTTGAACGAGGAATTTCCATTCTATATGTACGTGTTAAGATCGTCGATTCTCTAGAATGAGGATAACTAAAAGGAAGATAATATGTACTGACAAAAATAAATTGAAATATATAAGAAATCGAGATAGAGATATTTGGAGGGGGAAAAAAAACAAACTATTTTTAAATTAGACTGTCCTCCATCTAAAAGTACTTGTTCTCCTTTCTCTCGAAAGCATTCGGTTTCACGAGTGCTGCCAACGCCCAAATCGGAATACTAATTTCTCCTTTGAAAAATCGATGAATATACGCGACGATAAAAAGATATTAACAATCTGTCTTTGTAATTGTTACTTTAACATGATAATTGAAATAAATCGCTTACGAACGTACACTAGATATACCAATTGTCCCATTTTTAAATAAAGGGACATTTCACATTAAATAAAATAATTACAGTCGCAATTAATTTATATATATATATATATATATAAATAGAGATTAATATATATATATATATATATATATATATATATATATTAATATAATATTATATAATAATATTAATATAATATTATATAATAATATTAAATAATATATATATATATATATATATATATATATACACATTAATCTCTGTATTTATTTCAATGAATTACGTAATACGTTTAAAAAATAAATATAATAATATATAAATATAATAATAAATAATAAATAAATATAATAATAAAAAATAAATTACAAATGTTAATTGTATAAATTGAAAAAAAATTCTTTCGTTAGAATGACACACTTTCGAAATTGAAATAGCTTTTAAATCAAAATCTTGTAATCATGAGTCATTGAAACGAATTTCAACGAGTTATAAAATTTTTTTCTATGATCTCGATATATTCTCCACTATATACTTTACATATACCTACTGTAATACATCCTCGATTTGAGGGATACGTGAAAGAAGATATCGAGAACAAGTAAGCGAACAACCAAGCAGCAAGCAAGGACGCAAACATCGATTCTGACCCAACTATCTACGCCCCACCCTTGAATCTAACACCAGGACTCTCCTCGTTTCAGAATGGCCACCCCTCACGAAAAGGCATGGATTCGTTACAGCTTACACGTTTGCATCCTCCTCCTCCTTCCCACCCTTCCTTCCTCCTACCCCCATATTTTCTTCCCAATGTTTCTCTCTACGCGTTTTTCGATCGATTGAATTTCAACGGAATTGCAGAGGACGAAAATACGTACGAGCGAGATAGTGACGTCACGCTAACTCTGATGTATCATTCTGTTTCAGCAACTTGAGCAAAACGATGACGACGAGTATCTCAACTCCCCCTGGGCCGACGGCAGCAGTCTGAAGCGTCATTTCCACGGTATGAACAACATTTCGTGGAGACCGCATTAAAAGCCACCTTTTCGTATCCGCCGAAAGGAAGTATGTATATGAAGGAAGAGAAAGAAAGAGAAATAGAGATAAAGAGATAGACAAAGAAAGGAGAGAGAGAGAGAAAGAAAGAGAGAAAAAAAATGAACAAGTTTCGATGACGCTTTAATGTTATATTTGAAACGTTGCTAACCGTGAAGAGCCAAAATTCTTTTGCCGATTCGAACACAGCTTCGCGCGTTGTCCTTTTTACAAAGTGAACCAGAGGTAAATAAAAGATGGAAAATAAAAAAGAAAGAGAGAGAGAGAGAGAGGGAGAGAGAGGGAGAAAAAAGATAAGAATAAGAGAGGGAATGTGAACGACACGGCCGTCCCTTCACACCTCGAATATAATAATATATATTATATACACATATATTATACATAGAAGTACGTAATTGATTTTTTTGCTTCGTCGTGTACTTACATGCCGATAGATCGATGATGATAAGAAAAAATGGAAGGTTAAAGAAAATGGAAAAAAAAAAGAAAAAAAAATAGCTGACCATCGATGTTTGGCGCAAAATCACGCGGAATAATTAACCCAAAGATTATAAATCTGTGCCCGTGTATGCAATGCAGCAATTGATCCTCCTTTAAAAAAAAAAAAAAACGAAAAAAAGCGAAAAAGAAAAGAAAAAAAAGGTTAACACTAACTTTATCGACAGAGATAAACGATATTTTGTGACAGACATTTTTCTACTCGATGATCGAAATATAAATCACCGCTTCCCTTCCTCTTCTCGCTCCAATCTTTTACGTTAAACGGTGAAAATACGAAGAAAAAAGAGAAAAAAAGGAAAATGAAAGAAAATAACATTAATAATAATTATTATTATTATATTATTATTATTATAACAAAATCTGAAAAGAGAATGATTCTCGAAACGACGTAAATTCGTCTGAGCGATTTTTATCGTCATCGTCGTTCTCGAATTTATCATTTTTTTTTTAATATATATATTCAGATGGTATTTTGTTAAAACGGACGGTCGCGCACACGAGCTTTTTAATGACGATTTTATGTTTGTTTCCATATTGTTCTTTTATTTTCTTTTAACAGGATCGATGAGGAAGTATCCGGTGGTGTTCGAGGAATATAAAATGTAGAAAAAAAGGACGTGACCGTATATTGGTCGATAAAATTTGCCAAATAACTTAAGAAAACGAAAAATTCGATTCGATTTCACGATTAACTCGAAAACACATTCTTTATTAATCGGTCTTTATAAATCGATTTTTCAAGTTCTCTCGAATCACTATAGATGATTATATTATTTTCGACTTTGTGACTATAGAAGAGAAAAAAGAAGAAGAAAATAATAGAAAAGAATATTTAACGCCGGATTATGCGTTAAGATCCTCACTATCTTCTTGTATCGTTTCTTTCGAATCTGTCCTACATGCTCGACCAACTTTTATCGATTAATTAGATAATCGAACTTTCTCGGCTTACTAGCATGTCAGCCGATAATTATTAAAACTTATAAAAATAAACGAGTATACAAAGAGATTCCCTCTGGTTCACTCGACCACACCGAACGGGTATATCTGAGGTAATAATAATAATAATAATAATAATAATAATAATAATAATAATAATAATAATAATAATAATAATAATAATAGTAATAATAGTAATAATAGTAATAATAATAATAATAATAATAATAATAATAATAATAATAATAATAATAATAATAATAATAATAATAATAATAATAATAATAATAATAATAATAATAATAATAGTAATAATAGTAATAATAATAATAATAATAATAATAATAATAATAATAATAATAAATGAAGAAAAATCCGGTTAAACGAATAAAGAAAGAAAGAAAAGAAAAAGAAAAGTAAAGAAAAAAGAATAGAATGGAGCGGGAAAAAAGGAAAAAAATTTCGAGTTGCAAACAAGTTTTATTCATAAATAATATTTCAAAGTCACTTTATTTAAGCACTATGACAGGAGTAAAAAATGAATGAAAGAATAGAAAAATATAAAAGAAAAGCAAAAAAGAAAATAATGAGAGAAAGATGTCAGTTGATAAATATTTAAATATCGTTAAAATAACAAAATATTAACTAAATAATTCGCTTGCTGTGTGCTCATAAACGCATCCAATCACTGTGCATTTTAATAGAGACACATAATCGACACTCTTTTATCGAATTACCTGCGAAAGAATTTGCTCTCGCGTCTTTTTACACACCGTGCGCGCGTGCACGCGCATGCATGTTATATAACACATATACACACACAAAGAAATATGATTACGCGAAAAATTAAACAGACACATAAAACACATCCATACAAGTTCACGCGTACCTTTCTCAAGACACATGGCGAAAAATGATTTTATCCGGAGTTATTACTTTGTAATAACATGTCCACCAATTTTTCACATTTTTCGCTGCGAACGAAGTTCACTATCTGTACATTTTTTTGGAGAAAAAAAGAAATATAGTGAAATCAATTTAAAGAAATCGTTGAAAGGAAAAAAGAAGAAAAATGTTCTTATTTTCCAAGAAATTATAATAAGAAAGAGAAAATTAAAATTATTAGAAAAGATCTCTTCTATCTGGTCCTATAAGAAAAGTAAGAAAAAAAAAAGAAAATCTTAAAATATATCTCCATAATCATCATTGTTGTTTGTTTAAATAACAAAACAATAAAAAAAATAACAAGAACTTTCTATAAAAAGAAGAAGAGGAGGAAGAAGACTATGCTCATAACTGCTGCGTTCTCGTATACCGTATGTAGATTCGAAAAACTCTTAGAGGTACCTGTATGCGTGCGGTAAGGAGTAAAAAAGTAAAGAAAAAAAAATAAATAAATAAAAAAGAATAAAATAATAATAATAATAAAAATATACTTCAAAGAACAAAACGAACATGGAGAAGGAAAAAATGAGCGAAAGAAAACGTGGAAGATAAAAAAACTATAAAAAAGATACAAGGAGGAAGCACTTATACGTAAGATATAATTCTCCCTAGTCATTTATAAGTATATTAAATATATAACAAATTAACGCAAGTGGCGCAATAGAAATGCTTATACTTCAATCGATTGTTGGCCAAGTTTTTATTTTCATTTATAAAACATTATATATATATATATATATATATATATATATATATATATATATATATATATAATATTATACATATATATATTGCACATCGGACAAAGAAAGACGGCCATCGAAATTTCGTCCGTATATTCGTCTTTCGATTGACATACACGCATATGTATATAGTTGACGCATTTATGTCAACCGGAAATATCGACCAAACGAGTCGACTGTGCAAATATCAGCTAGTTACTTCCGTCGAAAACATTTAGAGTTCTCACCGATCTCGATTTCTTCATGAGCTCAATATCCAATTTTGTTTATATATATATATATATATATATATATATATATATATGTGTGTATATATATATATATATATATATATAAATGTGTATATATATATATACACATTCCTTTTTATTTAAATTGATTTTTCAAAATGATTCGTCGCGAGCATTCCTAAAAGGTAAACAAAGCATCTTGTTTGTGCCACGCGCGTACACCATATGCGTTGATAACTTACAGAAAGAAATAATTGAATTGTTTTTATGGATTAAGAACAAGTTGTCTGTGATCTACAATAATTAAAAGAATATTTAATAAGTATTAACGAATAATGGAGTTAATTGAAGCGTTGGTGACACCGAAAACAAAAACAAAAGAGAAATTCTAGACAAGAGATGTGTGAGACGATTGTAAGAGTGAAAAAGGGGGAAGGAAAAAGAGGGAAAGAATAAAAATGGGGGAAAAAATGTCTCCCTGAAGCAAGTGTAAAGCAATACGATGATATAGAAAAAATAAAATTGCACTAACGAAGTCACTGCAAAGGAATTCTAGATGAGATATATTATACATAATATTTAATAGAGATTTACGATGAAAAGAGATTTACTTCAAAAATAAAAAAAAAATAAATAAAAAAGAAAAGTAAAAGAGAAAAAAACAATTGCTGTTGTTAAAAAAAATTGTACTGAATAATGCGATATAAAGAGAAAAAAATAAAATAAAAAAAAAAAAGTAAAAAAAAAAGAAAACGATTAACGACGAAAAATGCGTGCTAAGTAAAAAAAAAATAAATAACACTTACCCGACTAGCACCAAGAAAAAATTAAGGAGAAAGAAATAAAAAATTAACGAAAAAAAAAAAAAAAAAGAAAGAAAAAAGAAAGGTTCGGCACTTGATCGTCGCAGCTAAAAAAAAGTAATACATAGATTTTAGATAGACTTATAGAAGCGCAAAAAACACCAAAAATCGTTCCTTCCACCCGCTCCGGCCGTGTATTTGATTATCAATTTGAAATATATCGCATCTCATACGAAAGACAAAAGCTCTTAAAAAAAAAAAAAAAAAAAAAAAAAAAAAAAAAAAAAAAAAAAAAAAAAAAAAAATACTAAAATGTATGCGCACCTCAGAAATGCAAAATTAGTGCGACGTTTTACTAATGGAGACGTAAGAAACAAAGAAATAATAATGAATAATAATAATAATGAATACTAATAATAATAATAATAATAATAATAATAATAATAATAATAATAATAATAATAATAATAATAATAATAATAATAATAATAATAATAAATAATAATGAATAAAGAAAAAAAATACGCCATTTGTCTCACCGAGTAATAAGTTGTTCAATGAGTGTTGCGGAAAATGTTCAAGAATAATTTTTGTACAGTTTTGGCACACATGAGAGAACGTGCAATGTCATCTTTATATTTATGTACAACAATGTTTAATTACCGTAAATTTTTCGATATTATTATAAACTATGATCGATTTCGTGTGAAAGTGTATATGGCTTTTTCTGCGGTTAACAATAAAAATGTTGTCGAAGCTTTTTTCACGACACACACATTTTACTATGATCGTTCAAATCATGAGACAAGACACTCCCTTTTCCAACCCCTCCCTGCTCCTTTTATTTCCCCATTATTGAAATACAAATGAAGTACAAAGAGGTATGTGTGTTTATATATATACACACATATATATTAAAAATCAAAAAAATTTCATTTATTTCTCACAATCATGTACATCGGTGGCCATTAATTCTAATTTTAAATTTACATCACAGCCATTTTGATAAATTGTATATTAATCCTTGTACTATGATTTATGTCGTGACGGCACATGCTAAAATCAATCGGCAGACAAAATTTCTAATGCATCTGTAACAATTCAATCACGGACTCACTCGTGTTTTTCTGATGCTTGACAATGTCTGACGACGATTAACAAGTATAACTCTCGATTTACTTTAAAATGCTTCTTATATCCTATATATTACTTACGTAGTTCTATAATATACGTACTATGAGTCTAAACTCGTGTTTCTTATATTTATAAGGCTTGCAAAAAGCATATGCATAACTCTTACACGATATTATAGAGCAAAGGGGTTAAAAGGAAAGTGCATTCTATCTCCTTTAAAACAATTTTTACTTCGATTCTACTATTTTCAATTGGAGATATATATAAAGTTAGCATGGTAGCAAATAGATGACAAATATATTCTAGAAATAATTTATATAGATAAACATCTTCACCCTTTTTCAAAAAATTATATAGATCAGTGTGCCACACAAAGTAAAGAAGAAACATTCCTTTTATTCATAGAGTAATATATCTCAAGAACTAATAATATTCGTAGATACTTCGAAAAAAGGATCATTTATGAAGGTAGTAAATGTT